GTTCATACCTACCTTCCTTCCTTCCTTCCTATCCAGCCACTACCTACATGCTACACAGAGATACATACATGCATACATACATTCATACAAATATCCATGCCTTCGTAACATACACAACATCGTACGTACATACGTACATACATGCATACACATACACACATAGACATAGACAGAGACATAGGCATAGACACACAAAAATACATATACAGAGACATGGACATGCACACATGCATGCACGCGGACATACATATGTTGCGAGCAAACAGAAACACACCAAGGCATACAAACATGGATACACACATGCAACTGTGTGTGTAAATATGCTGCATAGTACGTAGCTCATACCATATTACATTTGTACCCTCCATTAGAGAATCATATCATGTTGTTATATTGCTGTATATTTGTTATGCCATTTATTCTGCTATGTTGACAATTTACATGTTTATGCACATGTGCATGCATGCATGCACACGTACATACCTACACCCGACACACTTCCGTACACAAGCTTGTAAGTGCCCTGAGCTGACTGTTGCGAAAAGTACCAAACACGTGAACGAACACACACACACACACATGCATACGCAGCTCAGAGGTACAGCCGATGCCTGCAGGCAACGTGCCATTACCTGCAGCCATGCCTTGAGGCCTGCTGCCAGCTGGCCGTCATCCTAAACCGTTTCGAGTATCGATTCTATCTGTACAGCGGCTCATGCCAGATTGAGTACCATGGACTGGTCAGTTGAAGCCCATTATTCCTGTTCCAGACCTTTAGGAAGTCTTCCGGCCTACTACATCACTAAGTCTACTAGCCTCGCAAGCGTCGCAAATCCTCCAATCCCAGTCCATGGCAGTGAGAAAGACACAAGCAGGTGCAAGCGTAGACGGGCAACGGCTTCTTACGATGGCCCGCAACCGGTCAGCATCTCAGCCCCGCCCTAGCAGCCCTATAAGCCCCTATGAACCCGATAGAAGCTTGCTAGAGCCTCCCAAGGAAACCTCTTTGCGTCCTATGGGGTTCCGCAAAGTCTTCCGAGACTCAAGTTCTGATCCGCTTGTAACTGCTCAATTGAGCAGTGTCGAAAGCCTTGGAGTGAAAGAGTACACCTGGGCCGTACAAATGCTAAACGCAAATCCCTACCTTAAACTACCAAACCCTACTTTTTTTTGTAGGTTCTTATTCTGACCCTGGAAAAAAGTAGGTTTTGGTAGGTTAAGGTAAGCCTTATAGGCTTTCATGGCCCTGATCATCCTCAGCGCACACCCTAAAGCCAAGGACTACACCTTTAAACCTGAACCCTTAGCACCCAGAGACTCCAATACCCCTTAATTAAGGAATACTCCTTTAATCATATTAGGGATCCTATTGTAATTTAAGGTATATTCCTTGATTAAGGGGGTTTTGGAGTCTCTGGGCACTGATGGCCCCAACCATCCTCGGAACCCCTACACAAATTCCAACTCTTTGAGTGTCTTCCCAAAGATTCCAAGCAACGGTATACCTATATCTATAAATAAAAGAATACAGAAATAATATATATATATATATATAGAGAGAGAGAGAGAGAGTCTACTGTTGAGCCCCAGATTTCTACTAAGAGTCACCTTTGGGCCTGAACCTTCTAAACTCTATTTCCCTAGGCCCTAGTCAGCACTAGCGTGACCCCACATGACTTGTCGAAGGATTTATACGAGGAAATCATATTTTTGAACCCTAAAAAGGTAGGTTATTTGGATTCCAGGTAAGCCCTAAACACCACATGAAGCCGCTGCGGAGTCTTCTGCCCCGTCCTGCTTGATTGCTTGGGAGGCCTCCAGGAGAACAGACACCTAGATTTCGAGATAGATAGAGATCTAGATAGCATGACGCGTTGCTGGCCCTGACTTAAGTCTTAAGTCACGTTCCGAGAATTATGCTAGAGCCCTAAACCCTACACCATAAAACCTTAAATCCTAAATCCCTAAACCCTACTAGTTAACTCAACCCACTGTTTAAAGGAAGCCTTAGAAGGGGCCCCCCACCCTGTAATAGTGACTATAAGGATCATATTAGGTCCCTTTTTTCTTGCTATTATACCACTATTACAGGGTGGGGGCCCCTTCTAAAGGAAGCCTCTAAGGATGAAAGGAATCTTAACAAGGTTTAGGGTCTAGGGTTTAGGGTTTAGGGGTTTAGGGTTTAGGGGTTTGGGGTTTAGGGGGAGTCGGGAGTTGGGAGGCCTCCGAAGCACCCCGACAGAGTGCTTCCCATGAAACCAAGCTTCGCCTTTCCAAGCTTTGAAGCTTAGGAATCAGAATAGGGCGGTTTAGGGTTTAGGGTTTAGGGAAAGGATCCAAAAATCAAAGACTCGGGTTCAGGATAGTGGTTATGTAGGTAGATATTCGGGAGAGTATATGATTATTAGGTACTTGGACCCTACGGCTAAGGTATTGGAGTTATAGGGGTTCTTGGCTTAAGGATTCAGGGCTTGGGGTTAGAGCTGTTTGGTTTAGGGTTTGGGGTTTGGGGTTCAGGGCTGTGTGTTCACAGGACTTAGTTGATAGTCACAAGGGTGACTGTTCAGAGCTTCTTGGTTTGGGGTTTGGGGCTCAGGTCTTGGCGTTCACAACGCCTCGATCGCTCTTGCATGCTCTGCGTTCTGCTGGCCCTCTGCATTCCCCTCATACAACGGTAAAGGTCTTGGTGTCCTAAACCCTAAACCCTAAACCCTTAAGAAGATTTTACACTTTAATACTCATCTACTGCCCCCACAAAATTACCTCAAGTATATACTTAATCATCATATACTCCCCCAAATAGTAACCTGCAAAAGTACTATCCGTAACCCAAGTGCCTTGTTATTAGGTACTTTGGACCCTTCGGGTGTCATATCAGGGTTGCTCAAGCTTCAGAGCTTGGGGCAGATGGCTCCTGGGGTTTAGGGCTTAGGGTTTAGGGGTAAGAAGGAGGGGTTTGCACGGAGTTTCCAGGGTTTGGCTTATGCCGGGGTTATGGAGCCTAAAGCTTGATGCTGATGGACAACATCCTCCCAGTGTCCTAAGCTGTGGAGTGTCCATCAGGGGCGCTGGAGTTTGGAAGGATACGCTTTAATCAAAGAGGGAAACGGAGGGACCCTTAATGGGGACCCCTACCCCATAATGGGCTTGATAATGGGTATACAATCGCTATATTATGGGTATATACCTAGGGGTCCTTATTAGGGGTCCCTCCTTTTACCCTTTGATTTAAGGTGTCAGAAATACCGGGCAGGCCTTCGAACTCTCATTGCGGTTACCCTAAGGGTCCAAGTACCTGGTCATCATACACTCTCCGAAATACTATCCTACACTACTACTATCCCAAAACCGGGTACCTAATTATTGGGTCCTTTGGACCCTTCGGGTTAGAGTTTAGGGTCTTGAGGCGGATCAGTTTCGAGGCTTATCTGACTGAAGCTCTGGAATCACCTGCACTCGTGCACTCAGCCTGTGCGAGATGCAGCTGCGATGCATCTGCAAAGGCCTCGCCTCAAATTCTTAAATCTTAAAGCCTACCAGGACCCTCCTCGTATCCAAAATGGTCCCAGATTAAAGGTATTTAGGGTCTAACGGGAGGGTGGATGGAGCGTCTAGGTAAACCCTGAGCCTAATGAGGAAGCCGACGAGGAGAGCCACAGGCTAGGCCGGTGGTCCATCTCAGAGACGTTCCGACATTCAAGGATCTCAGCCATGCCTGACAATTGAGCACAAGTCGTGGTCTGCGTGAGGGTTTAGGGTTTACGGAGGATCTTGGGGTATGAGGATGTCGAAACCGACAGCATGATGCTGGCTCTTCACGCCCTGTTTGCCGAGTTGCTGTACTAACATGTGGGTTATAGTACGGCTAGACCATCGGACAGGCTTCCTAGTCAGAACATGATTAACCCCTTCATGGCAAGTATCGGGTTCTTGTGTGGAACGTTGATTGTATTGAAGTACTGCTGAGATACAAGCTGAAGACTTTGCTTTCCCTACCCTAAACTCTAAACCCCTAAACCCTAAACCCTAACCCCTAAACTCCTAACCCCTAAACCCTAAGCCCCTCACCCCTAAACTGCTAAATCCTAACCCCTACACCCCTAAAACCCCTACATCCCGGAACCCGAAGCTGCATGAGTTGGGTCAATCTCGGAGGCTCTTTGCAGTGGGCTTTGCGGACATAGGACATATCTGGGTGGTTGTCAAAATTAAGGTCCCTTTTTGGGTCCCTAGTATGATACTACGGCACCTTATTTCGGGTACCCAAAACGGGATCCTAATTTTGACAACTACCCATCTATTGTTGGGCGCGGGGGTGTGCTTGCCTGATGGCTTGCTTGGTATACACTGCCTTAGCGTTAGTTTCAATTTTTGAGTGTTGCATTTCTTCTCGTTGCGATTAGTTGAAATGACCAAGAATTAAACCATGTACATATACAGCAAGCGGCCTACTCATACCGACAACCCAAACATGCACCCACCGACTGCTACGAACTGTAAAGCCTCATAACCCAAGTGTTAAACAATAGTGGATGATTTCAATGACCCCTTAGAAACATTACTATTGACTGCCCCCATAGTACGCTGAGCAGAGATGTGTGCAGTTGTCCCCCGAAGCCCTGTGAAAAAAGGGTTACTAATTTGGGGTTTAGGCTTTAGGGTTTAGGATGGTTTAGGGTTTACGGCTAGGGTACGGACTAAAACGATGTCCACCCCAGAAAAGACAAGGCTTAAGTGATTGTAAAAGGGTTGGAGGGGCGAGAGGAAAGCCGACTTAGCCATACTTACAGTTACTTACACACTTGTGAGGCCCTGTAATGTGCTTCTCAGTAAGCTTTCGGTCTTACTAGAGTACCCTTGTTCCTAGTATTCGGTTCTAATCAGCAGGTTTTAAGAAGGAGACCACAAAACAAAAGGCGCAACAGGGTACTTCTGCGGAGCCAGGTATTCAACTCAAAACCCGCCGGAACCGGAAAGTCTGACCTGTCTGGTCGATGTGATCAGGTGGTGGTCTCCTTCGACAAAGGGCTTGTAATCTCAAGCACGGCACAGAGCAAACACGTAGTAACAAAAACACACACGGACGACAAGGGCTCTCTCTCTCTCTCTCTCTCTATCTCTCTCTTTCTCTCTCTGTATCTGTCTCAGTCTATCCATACACTTTCATACCCTAGGAAAGCCCTGCAGATTCCCGCAACAGACGCAGTGTTTTGTACGAGGACTAGGGAACCATCCTACATACATCCTCCTCACTATGCAGAAGGACGCGAAAGCTTCAGAACGGTGACTCCTCCTGCTCCCTCCTCCCCAGGCGACGACGACAACGACGACGACGACTAATTACTACTGCCACTCCTGCACCTGCTCCTCCTCCTCCTCCTCCTCCTCCTCCTCCTCCTCCTCCTCCTCCTCCTCCTCCTCCTCCAGCTGCTGCTGCTGCTGCAGTTCGCAGTTGTCGCGGTTGTCGCGTCGTCGTCCTCGACGTCGCCATTGCTCGTGTAGTCGACATCGTCGGGTCGGTTGTCGTCGTATCGTGACGGCTAGATTTTTGGGGCGTCAGTATCCGTATATGTCACAAACATTGCACAAAGCAATCTCGCCCCCACCTCCGCATGACTTTCAGGGGCATCTGGAACGCCTTCATCCGCCACAGCTGCTCCCGCCTCTGCCTTGCGGGTGCACATGCACGCCGTGAAGGTTCGCGTATTGCTGCAACAAACACTAAGGCATAAAGCCTTGGGTCTACGCTTTTCGGTCGATAGGCCTGGGGACTAGCGACTTGGATTTTTACGATTGCCTCAAAGGGTCCTTCTGGTTCTTCGTGTTGATGTAGTCTTGGTTGCGTGCTTGTACTTCTGCATGTGATGATTGTTGTTGTTGTTGTTGATGGTGGTGGTGGTAGTTGTGATTGATGCGGTGGTGGTCGCTGCTCTTGCTGCTATTGCCGCCGCTGTTGATTTCTTGCTGCAGCTGCGTGCTGTCGTCGTTGCTGCAGCTGTTGCGGTCGTCATCCTGGATGTCGCTAATCTGGCCCCCACCTCTGCATTGCTTTCAGGGGCATCTGGAACGCCTTCATCCGGCACAGCTGCTGCCGCCTCTGCCTTGCGGGTGCACATGCTGGCCGTGAAGGTTCGTGAAGATTAGATACTACGACAAACACTAAGGCGTAAAGCCTTGGCTCTAGGCTTTTCGGTTGAGGATACAAGGGCTGTTCAAAATAAAAAGAATCAGAGTTGTTGGGTTTGAGATGGCTTGGGGTTTCGGGCGAGGGCTTTGACCATGGCTTCAAAGGGTCTTTCTTCTTATGATTCTTGTTCGGCTTGTTGCGGTCGTGATTGTGGTTCTGCATTTGCTTGTGCTTATGTGATTAGCATACGAATGTGGTTGCTGTTGGTGGCGGACTGTTTGCTGCCGCTGCCTGCTGCAGCTGGTATTGCTGCCTGTTGCTGTCGTCGTCGTCGTAGATCATGGTCGGGGTTCTTGTCGTCGTCATCATCGTCGTCGAGGTCGTAATGGCTGGATTTCTCAAGCTTCCATGTCCGTATGTCACTTGGTTTACCATCCGTGCTGGGCTCCAAGCTGCTTTGAGCCGATGATCCGATCCGTCACGCAACCCACTGCGACAACACCCTCTCAAACCGGACCAAACCAAACCCTGCAAATGTTCAACAAAGCAATCGGGCGCGCCCACCTCTGCATGAACCTCAGCGGCATGTGGCATATCCTCATCGGGCACAGCCGCCACTGCCTCCTCAGCCTTGCGAGTGCTGGTGCACGCAGTGAAGGCCAGTGCAGATTGCTACGGCAATCAAAATTTAACCGGTTTACAAGGGCGGTCAACAAATCAATATATAATCAGTAAACCTCGGTGTTGCCGCTCGGTCTGGGATGGTTCGGGTTTAGGACTGGGGCTTTGACCGTGGCTTTGACAGTCTTGTTCGTCTTGATCTGGTAATGGTCATGATTGTAGTTGACATGCCGGTATGTGTTGTTGCCGCTGTCTGCTGCTACTTATGTTGCTGCTGTTGTTGCTGTTGTCGTCGTCGTCGTCGTTGAATTCGATGTCATCATCGTCGAGGTCGTCTTCGTCGTCGACATCATCGCTGGGCTCCAAGCTGCTCCGAGCCCTATGATCCGATCCGTTGCGCGATCCACCGCAACAACCCTCTCACATCAAACAAAATACCCTTCAGACATCCAGCAATGCAATCAGGTCCCCACCTCTGCAGTGAGCTCAGGGACATCTGGCATACCCTCATCGGGCACAGCAGCCACTGCCTCCTCCGCCTTTGGGTGCTGGTGCAGGCAGTCGATGCAAGTGCATATTTCTACGATAAAGCCGCAAGCCTAAAACCTTGCGTCTACTACTGTTTCTGGTTGAGAAGTTTAACCGGGGTTTGTTGTGGTCGGGCCTCCGCATCTGCAGTGACCTCAGGGGCATCTGGCATATCCTCATCGGCCATAGCCGGCGCTGCCTCCGCCTTGCAGGTGCTGGTGCGCGCAGCGAAGGCTCGTGCAGACTGCTACGACGAACACTGAAGCCTAACAGCTTGGTTCGACACTACACCCTAAACAAGGGGTTTACACGGGCTGAAAGCAACCAGGAAACTTCAGATTCATAGATGCCAGGATTGGGATGGTTTGGGGATTCGGGTCAGGGCTTTGACCATGGCTTCAAGAGGTCCTGCTTCTTCTTTTTCTGCATCTTATCCGTTTGGTAGTAGTCGTGTTTAAGTGCGTGTGTACGTGTGCTTCTGGCCGTGGTCGTGGTTGTGGTTGGTGGTGGTGCAGGTGGCCATAAAGTTTGTTGTGGCTTCCTGCTGCCGCCACAGCTGCTGCCGCTGCTGAGGTTGCTTCTGCCGCTGCTGCCGCAGCTGGTGCAGTTGCTGCTGTTATTGCTGCCGTCGTTGTCTTCGTCGTCTAAGTCATAGCTCTTGCCAGCATCATCATCGCCGGGGCCCTTGTCGTCATCGACATGTTTGTCGTCGTCAGCGTCATGGCCGGATTTCTGAAGCCTACGTGTCTGACTATCCCGCGTGGTGTACCATGGGCTGCAAGCTGCTCTGAGCCCGATGATCCGATCCGTCGCACGACGTGGACCCTCTCAAACCTTACAAAGCCCATCAGACGTCAGCGAAGCTATCGGGCCCCCACCTCTGCATTGACCTCAGGCGCATGTGGCACGCCTTGATTAGGCACAGCCGCTGCCTCCTCCGCCTTCTCAGTGAAGACTTGTGCAGAGTACTACGACAGACCCCAGGGGCTAAGGTCTCCTGTTTCCGATCGAGGATTGTAGCCGGTAGCGGTTTTTACTAGGGCTGTCAGAAACCAACAGATCAGAGCTGCTCTGTTTGTGGTCTTGTGCCAGGGCTTCCACCATGGCTTCCATCGGTTCTCCTTTTTCTTCGTCGTATTCTTCTTGTTGTGGTCGCGGTTCGTGATGTGGTTGTGTATGTGCTTCTGATTGTGGATATGGCCATGGTTGTTGTGATTAATCATGGTGGCGGAGGTGGTGGTGGTGATGTCATCGCCGTCGTCGTGGTCGTAATGACTGGAGTTCTCAAGCTTCCGTCCCCGACCGAACATGCCACTTGCTAAGGCATCTAGGCTGGGCTACTCCCTGCACAGAGCCCGACGATGCGATCCGTCGCACGATCTACTACTACTCGACACCCACCCTTCAGAGCAATCGGGCCCCCACCTCTGCATTGACCTCAGGCGCATCCTGCATACCCGCATCAGGCACAGCTGCCTCCGCCTTGCAGGTGCGGGTGCTCTCAGTGAACATTTGCGAAATGCAAGGCTCAGTGCATGGGATTTACGGGTTCCCGTGTGGCATTTAAATAGGGCTTCATAGGTCTTTCCTCAACTAGGAGACTTCACGGCAGTCAGGGTTGGAGTTTAGGGAGCTTTCTGGTCAATGTCAGTTGCTCTGACGATTGATTGCCGACTTCTCTTCAACGGTACAACAACCTGAATTACGAAAACCCTAAACCAACCTACGGTCTCACTGCGAAGTCTTGCAAGTGCCGTAGTTGTGGTGTCCCAGCTGCCTCTTCGATCGGGACCTTGACATTCGTCGCCGGCTCAGCACAGGCCTGCTCACAAAGGGCCACGAATGAAGTTCTGGGTTTTTTAGTTGAGTTCTGGGTTTAGGGTTTGGGGGTTTAGGGGTCCTGGTCTGCTAGATGCTTGCCATGCCAAAAACGCACACAAATCGGAGACCTTGCTGAGCTGGCTCGTCGGGCGTTTGCAACAAAGGGTCGGGAAGCCATGCTTACATCGTGTAACTCTGGCATTAGTATTGCTCTTGTTTTTTGTTACATTTCGGCTTGAAAATAATGCTACTACTAGCACTGCTCTAGCCGTTGTTACTCTATTTGTTATGGTTATGCACATTAGTACATGATTACTATGCATTAGTAGTATGATTACTGCTGCCCTGATTGTGGCTATTATTCATAAAATGAACACGGTTGTGATCAATGTGGCTAGTATCACTCATGTTTTTAGTGTTACCATCATCATGATGATTACTGGTTGTGTTCGCTGTTTGACTGTTCGTATCGACTGTACGATTGTGCTTCCGGCTCTCATGTTTATGGTTACGACCAGATGCCGCGGCAGATGTTCTTCTTTCAAAGCGCTATCTACTTGGAGGATCATGGGATTTAGTAAGGTTATGAGTACCTTAATTGGGTTACTAGTAGTTGTGAGTATAGCTACCTTGCTCATCACCCAACTTGCTAAGTCCCATGAACCTCGAAGTATACTCTGGAAGAGGATCTCGCTTCAACTGCAAGGCAACGATTCAAACGCTCGTGCTCATCAGCAATCCAAATATTGATCAGCGGTGCCACGACTAATCACAGCTATGAACCAAAGGGTCCATGTACCTGTACTCGCGAGATCCGATACTCATAAACCGCCCCTGAACCGTAAACCCACAGGTTTACGAAGTACTTGCAAGTCTCCGAGCAGGCCGAGTCCCTAGGCGCTACCTGCATCCTTGCACCGCTGTGGAAGTTATGTGAAAGCCCTGCAATAAGTCGAATCTACGGGCATCGCTAACCAGAAAAACAAGCTTTTGGGTACGTACATAATTCAGGTTAAGGAACAATAAAGAGTACTGCTCCGGGCACTACGGCCACTGCATACTGCATGGACCCATAGGCTTACGTGGTTGGAGGATCATGGGACTTAGAAAGTAAGGTTATAGGGTATCTTAATTGGGGTTGTAAGTATAGTTCCCTGACTTATAACCCTATAGTTACGAAGTCCCATGACCCTTTAAATAAACTTAGGATCGCAAGCGTCTTCAGATGGCCTCTTGGACGGGGTCTGCACTCCCTTCTGCAGAGTCTGCAGCCGCCTCGGCATTGTCAAGCATTGACGAGATTTTCACTACAGTCCGAACTCGGTGCTGAAGAGCCAAGAGCGGCTTACTGCCCCGATAATGGTTGCCATGCCGTTCTAGACAGACCGTCTGTGCAATGCTACGCAACAAGAACTACTCACAAGATGACTCGGCATTTTACACTCGCCATGGCGCAGTAGTCCTAAACCCCAACCCCTGAAATCACAGGTGGCAAGCATGTGCTGCGTTGAAAACCGGTGTCTTGCACTGAACAAAAGTTTTCTGACATTTCTGCTTTCCGCCAGGGTATTCAGACCACCCTTCCACTAGAATCCCCCTGCCACTCATAAGTTTGAGCCTCTCTTCGGTTCATACTACCAGAATGGGATATCAGGATATCCCTAAACCCTAAACCCTCCTAAGGAACAGTCATCTAATTCACACAATCAGCAAACGAAACTCCCACTCGTGTTCCAGTACGGGCGTTTATACTGAAGTTGAAACTAGTTGAAACTGGAAAAAGCTGACCCTCCATACCCTAAACTAAACCCTAAACCCTAAACTTTCAATTCCGGATCATTGGTGCTAAGATTGCCTTTACTTCATATAATCGCTCAAGGGCATGAGGCTAGTGATATTAGGCAGTGTAAGCGCTGCGCCCTGAAACATTCAAAGCACTGCGCCCTGAAACGTACCGTGTCTCGAATTCGACACCCTAATCCCTACTGCAAAACCTAAACCCTAAACTTAAACGGTGCCTCTTCGACTTTGTTGTTGCCTTCTGCCACCGGTGCCTGGACTGCCTCGCGGTGGCTACCACTCAAGTTAAACATTGAGAGGGTCACCCTAGGGTACCTTAAGGTCTAGGGTTTTCTGGTTAGGATCTGCTGAGTAATATAGGAAGGTAGGTAGCCTGAAAAAGGCGGAGTGCATGACCCACTATAGGCAGGGTTCAACCGCTACAGACAAACTCCCCATGCCCCAACCGCTAATCCCTAAACGGCAGCATCGAAGGCCGCCCCTCGCAAACTCTCCGACTTGACACCTCTTAACCCGAAATGCTCATTGAGCGCGCGTGGTTTCATCCCAAGCCAGATCCTTTCTGCAATAGGTGGCAACTCATCGTAACAGAAATTATACACGAAATAAACTACTAGTACTGTTACGATATATGTCTATTATTCCACTATACTATACTACTCTCTACTGTACTATATTGTACAGTACTATACGGTACTCGAGTATACTCTCAGAAACTGTACTGCCATAACATTGTATATTGTACTATAGCCAAACAAAAAACACAACATAAAGCATGGAACATATAATGGACAATATAGCACAGCATCTAAAAGTTTCTGTTACATAATGTAATACAATACATTAGAAGACAATGTAACGTAATGCTGTGCAGCCATCGGAAAGCTTCCTCCTCATATGAAGTTGCGCTTGTAACCAATAGGCCCTTGGCGGGCGAATGCAGAGCTCCTTGGGTATTGGCGTTTACTTTTATACAGCTAATGAAACCCTGAACCCAGTGCCAAAGTGCTGCTGAGACTAGGTTTCGCCCTGGGCCTGTTACGTTGGTCAGACAATATACCATACCATACTTTACTTTACTTGTGCTAAGAAACTACACTATACTCTACTTGCGCATACCATGCAAAGAAAAACTATGTTATACTGTAGACTACGTAAACTATACCATACTATGCTATACTACACCATGCCATCTTATACTATTTTCTACTTTACTACACTACACTGTACTAACATGTACTATACAATACTTCACACAAGCGGAATGCAATATAGTCTATTGTGGGGGGAGAAGGGCTTTGAGGCAATATCCGGTTTTGCACAGCCAAAAATAGCCACACTGACTGACTTCCTTGCTTTGAAATGAGGACTCGAAATCCTAGCCTCGAGGCCCTGTCCTCCCTCTGGCATCCTCTTTCTTGAAGTTCTTTGGATACCCTTTCTAGATTGCATTCTCGCTTAACTTAAGCTCTGAACAAACCCCACTGCCATCTCCTCATCCCTAAACCATGCCTTTACCCTAGGCGTCAAAATAGCCCAAAAGCCTTATATAGTATGGCCTTTGGGCCCAAAAGCCCTGAAACATGAGTCCCCAGAGCCTCAGGGTTATACACCCTAAACCCAAACCCTAAACCCCTACAAACCCCTACAAAACCCTATAAACCCTAAACCCCTAAACCCTAAACCCCTAAACCCTAAACCCCTAAACCCTGAACCCCTAAACCCTGAACCCCTAAACCCTAGACCCTAAGCCCAAAACTTTGGCTGCAGCTAAATCAGCTCCTTCCGCCTTAGCCCTGAACCATTCAGGCCGCCTCCAGCTGCATCAAGCTGCGCGGAGCCCGGCGCTTTGGAGTGCAGGGTGCCTAAGGCCGAATTCAAAATGCTTGAGGTTTAGGGGGTTAGGGTTCAGGGTTTAGAGTTTAGGGTTTATTGTTGCTAGCGGCTCTCCTCGATTTGCCTGAAGGGTTCGGGGTTTAATTATGGTTTACAGTTTATAAAGTTCTGCCAGTGAAGGGTTGTTTTGACACCTGTCTTTGCTTTCGGGATTGAGGCTTGTGGTTAGGGCGGTTACTGGGGCCTCGACTATGTAACCAGTTCCCACTTCCCCATGATTGCAGCGCACGGTTGTGGGATTTGTAAAGCAAACCCGTGAATGCAGTCTCGAAGGCTGCACAACCACGGAAGCTCGAAGTACTAGCAGACATGAAACATGATGAAACTAACGAATGCGGAAAACCTCACAGGACCGTTCTTGAAACTTAAACCCCGTAGGCTGTCAATGGTTGAACGGGTCCCCGTGGCCTCAACCAGTGCAGCAAGTTCAATAGCGAGGCTACTTGAGGGGTATGACTGCACCCTACCCTCCACCCTGAGCTCCAAGCCACGGGCACTGATTAGACCCGTGTTTAATCCAAAGACAGGACCGCTGGTCCTTACCACGTTAACGGGGTCTTTATTAATCAGGGGTCTGCAGAAAGCTTCGAAGATCGTGACCTGCATTGGAACACAGAAGCCCCGACACGAAACACTCGACCAAGCAGAACGACAAGACACGACCTCTTCGAAGGAATTCGGACCTCCCTGAACTGCCAATTAACGCCTAAACCCTAAATTACTACATCCTAAGCCCTATAAACCCTAAGTTCCGTTACCCTGCCTCTTCCACGGCAGAAGTGGGATCATCGTGTTTTGCGACAGCCTGCTGATTTAATAGCCGCAAGGCGGGCTCTAGGGGTTCCGGTGTGCGGGTTCTATAAGAGTTTCTCTTAGGGGTGGAGAAGGGGTCTATAGAAGGGTCTATACAGGCTTCATCATAAACGGCTTCGGGGGCTTGAGGGCTTAAGCCTCAGGCAGAGTGTAGAACTTCGGGGTTTCGGGTTTACAATAATAAGATTTAGGCGGCGAGGTTCCCAGTTAGGGCATGCAATGGTGGCCGAAAATTTGGAGCATCGATGCAGGATGCGTTATGTTGAAATTCATGGCTGCGGGATACAAACGACCATCGTAAGGTCCAAGTTTCGGGATGCTGGTACAAGCGGGAAACAGGACATTCGACAAGCCATCCGCCATCCTGGCACCGTCACAGTGTATACCGCTATATACATGCAAGCACATGGACCCTGAGGGAGTAATCTGTTTGTGAGAGTGTGTTGCCATTTGCATGGGACCCCTTCATACTCAGTCTTGTCAACAAGCGAAATTCTAGATCTAAGGCCCCCGTAGTTGGCAACACAGGGGCTTTATCAAATTAGAACAAGGTTTTCGGGTATTGCACTCTGACTATACAACTCAGGAAAGATAAGACGATAAGTGGGCACTGTTACTAGTTACTTGGACCCCTGCAGTACACTAGACCAGCCCCTTTGGACTTCGAAGGTAGGGCCGCCTGCTGCGCTTTGCCTTCAAGCGCCTTCAAGGCGGCCTCAAGGCCTTGTGCGGTCGAGTCGGTTCCTAACTAAGGATGAGGGTTTGGGGTTCACGGATGAAAGGTTCAGGGTTTAGGGCTGAGGGCTTAGGGTTTATGAGGGTTCAAGAGCTCCAAAACTCGATGGTAAGGGCTCTGCAGGGTGATTGTTCTAGGTGTGAACCCGCAAAAACATGACTCCGGGTTCCTGTGGTACCTTGAGGTGATGTGCGGGCCGAATATAAGTAGAAAGAGGTTTTGGGTATATTGTAGTAGAGCTACAACAAGGAGCCCTAAGGCACAGGTTTAAGGCTTAGGGTACCAGGTTTAGGGCCTTTAGGGTTTACCAGAACAGTGGGGTCAAGTGATTAACTTCAGATCTCTGACTTTCGCAGGCCGCAACAGGAATTTCGCCGCGAGCGAACCCTCAGTTGCCAGCTTGTCTGGTTGAAAAGAATCGCCACTGAACCCTTGTATAAGCCCAAAACATCTTCCCTCAATCCCACGAGCTGTAGATCCCTAAGTTGCCCCTAGAAACCTAAACCCAAAACCTCTTGGAGCCTTCAAAAACTTCAAAGCCAGGTCCCCCTGACGACCGAAGGTGGAGGATGGCCGTCCCATAAGAGAACCTTCAGAGGACCGTAAGTCTACGTAAGAACTCAACTGTGAACGCTGACTTCTCTATCCGAAGCCCTGAATCCTAAACCTCTACATACAGCCTACCTTCACCCCCCGAATAACCTACCGCTTTACGGGTTTATACAAGGAAGCCATAGGAAGGAACCCTATATAAAATGGTAGGTTTTGGGGGATCCAAATAAAACACGAAACACTCCAGGACCCAGCCTTCACCATCTTCCCAATACTTCGAGCCGGAGACGTTCATCACAACCTGTGCCTGCACCGTCACCTGCAATAGGGTTTAGGGCTTACTGTAGGTGCAACTTCACGACGTACCTTGATGGGTTCCTTTAAGGGTTCTGTAAAGGGTTAAGCGTCCCTTCAAGGGTTCCTGAAGGGGCTCTTCTGAAGCTTCCTCGGGTTTCTACGCATCCATACACCGCAGGAACCCTATATACCCTCACCAAATCCCGTGTTCTTGTAACCCCAACCTCTCGTCGGAGTGCTGCCATCGTACGGACGGAAAGGAGTCTCCAAGGAGTATAGGGCTTGGGACTTGGGAGTTTTATGGGGTTTCTGGTTTTCGGGGCCCTTTGATTCAACCACACATGTGTGAAGATTGGGGATCCCTGTTTAGGCTTCGGGGATTCACCCCTAAAGCCTTTAAAGCCTAAACCCCTAAACCCTAAACCGACAAACCCCTAAACCCCTAAACCCTAAACCCTGAGATTCAGGGTCAACGGCGCCTTAGACTGGAAGGAATACAGGCAATATAGCTGCTGGGGCCCATTATGCTATAGTTATAACGAGGACCCCCCAAAATAGTGTTTGTAATTGTTTAGGCCCCTCTATTACTTTCAATAGCTCTTTGACCGCATCGTTCCACTACTACCAAAAAAACGCCCCAATGCCTAAATCTCAATTCGCTGGATCCAAAGCCATATCCCGAAGCAAGCTTCGGGCCGTCAGGTTCTGGGTGAGCGCTGATGCTTGGAATGTAAATTGCTCTCGCAGGGTAGAATCTTTGGGTCAGAAGAGGGTTACTTTTCGACTGTTTGAAGTTCAATGGGGTCCATAACAAGGGGATGTTGCAAGGTCTTCTACGCTGTCTGTTTTCCGGTATTGGCCTTAAATTTCTGAAGTATTGCTACTTACTCAAACTTCTATATGATGAGTGTTAGGGTTAGGAGTCAAGCTTGTGTGATGTCATTGAACCTCAAGGTCTCGCTGCCCGTGTTCGGTTTGCTGTGGCCGTACAGTATGATTGGTGTTGGGTCCATCATCAGCGCTCCAATTATAGGAGTTCTAGTCCGGGGGTTCTAGGTGACAATCTTTATAGGGGTCTTCATAATTTGTGCAGGATTACGATAGTTTTTGGAGTTCTTTATGGTCTGATTGATAAGGCTCTCTCGGGCTCTACGTTAAAATGACTACTCAGGCACCTATATTACTGCAGTCAACTGCTACGACCAGTGCTGCTTCAACTTAAGCGGTGTCAAAAAACATATCCAAACTTCTAGACCTAAGAGTAACCTAGGAATAAAAAGGGTGCCCTTTTTGGTTAAAGGGGGTTATAGGGGAACCTAAACTCTAAAAAAGGGAATCAGGGCCTACTCCGGGTCCTAGGCTTTCTGATTCTGGAGCTACTGTAGATCCTGCCGCTGGCTAAGGCCGACAAGGGCTCGGATTATTCTCGAAACCCTAAGCCATAAGCCTGGCCCATGATCCTTGTTAGTCCTGGGGTACCTGTTGCTCCCTGTCGGTACTCCAAAGACAAAACTCAAGGGGAAAGATTCGACATGATCCTCATACGCTCTAAACTTTATAAACCTTAGCGCATCGTACATGCCGGTTGCAGGCAAAGCACAGAAGTGCAAGACCCCGCAGCTGCCTTCCTTGGCTTCCCTACAAACCGCAGCCCCTATACCCAAACCCTAGAGGCAACGGAATCTTAAAGCCTCAAACATTCATTCTTCGCGGCCCGAAACCCTCAATTCCCAAAACCTGACCTTGGGGTCCATTCAGGGAAGCATACCGACCTGCTGCGAGCCCACTGGCAAGTCAAACTTCACGGAGGAGAACCATCCAGCCCCTCGGGGCATTTATGTTTATTCTTTTGCTGTGTTGGTTTGCTGTAAAGTTTAAACCCTAAACCTAAAGGTCGTTGACTTTCATATCTCACGGGCCGGGGGAGGTTGCCATGGTTGTGTTTGTTTGCACGAGTATTGTTTAAAGTTTTGTGTCTACGGTAGTTCAGGCAGGCCCTAGGGCTTAGGGCTTCAGGGCTTAAGGCCTGCGGCTTAGCCGTTTGAGCTCGAGCTTGAGGGCACCTGGCTGGGGTTTACACTGTAAGGCCTGGTTTAGGGGTCTAGTCTAGGGCTGAGGGGTTTAGGGGTTTGCGTTTACCGTGGTTTCTGGTTGTCTTTGCTTCTCTCACAGGTCTCCTTGCGCCTTGGATAGGCCTCGTCCGGGTTTCAATGCTTCTCTTTGGAGTTTGGATCCTTTAATGGGTGCTCTTGGCACTTTTCTGGCTCTTTCGAGTGACCCGACTTCAGGACACTATTCATGTACTTGTTTGAATTGAAGTGAGTTGGGACTCGAAGGCAAACCCTAAACCCTAAACCATATTGTTTCTGTTTTCCTTTCAGCCTGTTCTGCAAATGAAACCTAGGGCCCCTCACATCCTGAGGGAAAGAAGCCATAATCGGCCCCAAGCCTTCTCAACCTGTCACCAAAAAACAAGAACAACTGACAGCAAACTCCCTAAACCTGGTTGAAGAGTTCTGAAAGGGGGCCTAGAAGTTACTTCTATACTATAGACCCCTTAAAGGGAACTCCAGAAAGTTGGAATATGGTTTCATGGTAGGATACCTTATAACTTACCATAAAGGGTTTAGGATAATCATATTCCAACTTTCTGGCTTTTACTGTAACTCAACAGAACCTAAAACCCTAAACCCTATAAACCCTAAAAACCCCTAAACCCTAAACCCCGCTTCTACCTTAACGTGCCTTTGTTTCCATCCCCCCCCCCCCCCCCCCGGCCTCCTGACTTGAAGGTCCTGCGCTGGAAGGTCTTCGGCTCGGGGGCTCTTCTTGGAGGGTCTTTAGGGGGCTTAGTAAGTAGGTAGTTCCTGTAAAGGGGATTCTGAAGGTTCCTTTAAAGGGCTCTATAGGGGCAGTATAGGGTTTAGGGTTTAGGGTTCAGAGACTTAGTAAGTAGGTAGTAAGTAGACTTATAAGTACCCCAAAAGGGACCCTAATTGGGCTTATGGTACTTATAAGTCCCTAAAATAACCAGTTGCTAAGTCCCCTGACCCTCCAAGTGATGCTCAAGAACATACCCGAAGAGCCAGGATGTAATTTAGGCTTCATGGGATTAGGATTCAAAATAGGGGCGAAGTAGAACTTAGAGTAGAGGGTTGTTTAAGGCGAGGTTAGGACTGCTGAAAAGGCTGTATAAGTATACCATCCTTTGTTACCTTTCCAGATTGGAAAAGGGCTAGGTTGCAGGGTTCCGGGGTTCAGGTAGCAAGTGTTTCGGGTACGGGGCATAGAGTCGAAAGACTCGGGCAATGGTGCTGGCTGTAGGGCTTGGGGTTCGGGCAGCGCATTGACCGATACAGTTTGTGATATCCTACTCCGCTATGGGGCCCCAGACCCCAAACCCCAAAAGCCCAAACCCTGGAGTTAGGGCTTAGGCCAAAGGACGTCGACTTTGTCCAGCAAGAAGAGCCTAGCCCTAAATCCTTTAAGCCACCCACTGTAAAAGGAGAGGCTAGCGCTCCTCGCCACCAAGTCCATGGGAGCTGCCAAGGGTCTGGATTCCTTGTGCCAGGGTGTGAGAGGCTTGGGACATAGGGTTGACCTCAAACCGCTCTGCCTTGGAGCCTGAGACTAATTGCTCCCTGATCACATATATATATATATATACACATGTATATGTATATGTATATGTGTATATATATATATATACATATTGTTCCATCTTACACACATATATATATATATGTATATATATACACACACATACAAATGCATCCTGCTACTAGTACATATATAAAGTCTCAACGTCCTAGACTATGTGCTGAGTCCCCTGATCCTTCAATTGCCGCGGCAGAAGCCACGCCTCCGGGGAGTTGCCGGGGAGGTCGAAGGCCTCAACAAAGCCGCCCAATGCAAACTTCACTGCAGGGAGGGAGAGAGAGAGAGAGAGAGCAGACGGTTCAGGCTTTAGGGCTTAGGGCTTTAGGGTTTAAAGGGCTTAGGAATTTAAGGCTTGGGGATTCGGGGGTTTAGGGTTAAGGCTGCGTGGGTGCTGTCGGACAAACTAGTAACTAATCAACAGGGCAAGCCATCAGGGTCGTGGCAATTAGCACACACACACACACAAACTCGCGGTGTCAATGGAATGGCAAGGACCGCTGCCGAGAAAGAACTGTCAAAACCTAACTGTATTGCAGAGTCAAGAAGAACTTAGTACAACATGACAAACAGTCGCTACTGGAATGTTTGGGATAGAGGCGAGAGATGAGATGACACATGCATCGCGAAAAGGACGAGGCGTGCTAACTACGGATTTAGTGGTGATATAAGCTGCACTAACCTCCGGTCCAACAAACAATGTTCGTACCCTGCCACCCCTTCGTACAACCCCTGAGCTGAATGGCTCAGTATTGATAAGATCTGACCTGAAACCCTCAACCCTAAACCCTAACCCAAAACCCTAAAACCCTGAAGCGAGTCGTTGAGGCCCGAGCACATCGGAGTACGGGGCAATTCTGGAAGAACTCCGCTCGTGTCATAGCTGAGTCCTCTTTGTGCTAGGGATGAGGGTTTAGGGTTTGTCTTAGAGTGGATACTGTCCAGGATTTTGCCGAGATTGCTTGTCTAAACCTGTTCTTCCTGGGGGGGAACCTTAAAAGCTGTACAGTAAACCCTATAAAGTTGGAAACCTGATTAAGGCCAAATAGAGCTGGGATTCCCTATACACTAGTCTTAAGGATTGGGGCTGGTAGGTTTCCAACTTTTGGGCTTCTACTGTAAGAAGCCATGGGCTTATAAACCCAAAATAGTAGGATCCATATAATAAGGAACCCTAATAAAGACCCGAGGTTTCTTAATCAGGTCGCTACAGGTAAGGCTTTCGGTTTCTCGTGTACGTGAAATGACCAGCCGCGAGGCTTCTACACGCGAAGGCATAGGATTTTCAGGGTTTACCTGGACCCTAAGGAACCTACCTTTTTCGGGCTGCTTATTATGATTTCCTTATATAAGTCTTCAAAATTGTAGGGTCTTCAGGGTGTAGTTTATTGGATCTACCGAGCGCAGATGAGCCCAGATAATCAGAAAGTAGGATCAAGGTCTCGGCTACGGCACAACCACGAGAAGCAAGAAGAGGAGGCATATATATATATATATATATTGTGACTGTCAGCACGATAACGAAACTCGTTGATGCGGCTGAAGCCGCTGAAGAGACTGATAAGGTTGTCATGGTGATGCTGATGGGTGGCTTTCAACCATGTTGCTGACTGTAGCCAGACGAATAAGCGGAAGGGTGAACGGCTGCCGACATGATGATGATGAACGCTGTCGTTACAAACCGTTTCAGCAGGCTGGTACGATCTTGAACTGTGCGGCGCTTCTTTGTCCGATTGCTGTTTATGTTTCCAACCTCTCGACAGCGCAGTGGTTGCTGTTCTCACGACTACTATCACAAGTCTTGCTAGCAATGTCACAACTGAGTGGTGCAACGAAATTGTATTCGTGGTTGGATTATGATTGTGATCATGGTTATGATGACCACATCAACATCAGGACCTGAATTGCAGTAGCCCCCCTGCCATTGTCACTACCCTAAACCCTAAACCCTACACCCTAGCGTCACAAAGACTGGAAGTCGCAAACCTTGAACTCTAAACTCTTACCCCTCTCTTTTCAACACCCTTAAGCTCTGAAACCTCAACCTCCCAAACCCTAAATGGTATGCACCTTGACCCCTACGTATCCATGCAGGGACCCTCTTGAAGGCCTAAATGATGTGATGCGGATACATGGGCTTTTAGGGTGAAGCCAGGAGCAACAAAGCCCTAAACCCTAAAGTTAGGGTGTAGGGCGCAGGGTTTAGGGGCTTGAAAACCGGAGCGACAAAGTCCTCGGCACTCTGTTTGCCCTTGCCCTTGCCTTTTCCTGTTCAGGGACAAATGAGCTTTGATGTGTTGGATTTAGGGTTATGGGTTTAGCACCAGCAAAGTTATCCGCTGCGGCATTAGCGAAGCAACAGTATGCAGTGGCCATGTCGCGACAAGGTGATGCGTTTTAGTTGTGTGTAGGAGCATATGTCGGTAAACAACCAACGTTGTCTGTCGCATTATGACAACAACACTGTTACGATTCCTGGCAGCAGCACTGATGGAACGCGTAAGCATACTGACGACAGTCGCAGTCAACAGCACAAAGTAATATCTACACCCATGCCAGTCGCATCGGCGCACACCCCTCGATATAATTACATCATACAAGTCGTAACAGGTCCGTATTTTGAAGAAGTGTGCTTGAGCAAGACGTCCGCACAACTGCAAAACCTTCCTGTGATGATGTAGAGGAACCCAATATGAGACTTATCGGGCCAAGGCGGCCATGGTCAGCAAGCATTTGCAGCAGCTCGTTTTTTGAAAAACAACCACCCAGACCCCCGGCAAAATCTAGAAAGTAGATCCCCTAATTTGGTGTCCTATACTACTAAGGGTACTTAATAGGAACCCCCATGAAGGGATCTACTTTTTGGATCCTCCCGGGGGTCTGGGCAACAGGGGGCACGACTTGCAATGGCCGAGAAGAAACCCTTGGTGTCTCTCTGCATTAGCATCAGCGCTTCCAATCACTGCATGCAATACTACACACACTGTACACATTTGTCGTGTTAGGTCCCGGGGAAATACCTGCTGCTCCTTACGAAGAACTTTCATAAGAATGGATATTGAATGAATTATGAGGCTCTCGGAGACAGGAGATTGATAAATGTGGCAGCTGCACTGTGTTGTTTGGCTTCATTGAGCCCTACCTCCCACTTGCTTGAAATCCAAAACATGCCAGCCCGCATGCAATTCCCTCTGGCACACCCAGCAGCGACTCTTGCACGATTACAGTCCTCATGTGCGTAATGCTAGTCGGCTTATTTCTCTTTGATCTAGTTCACGTGTCCTGACCACTCTCATCCTTAACATCATCTGCACCTGCACCTGCACCTTCATGAAAGTGGCAGTAGCAGCAGCAGCAGCAGCAGCAGCAGCAGCAGTAGCAGCGGCAGCACGAAGCACCAACAGTAGCAATAGTAGCAATTAGTTGTAATAGTCGTCGTCGTAGAAGTGGTGATGGGTGTGGTGGTAGTAATAGCAAGAGTAGCAGGAGCAGCAGCAGCAGCAGTAGTAGTAGTAGCAGGGATCGTCATCGCATCACCTGCAGCAGGAGGAGGGAGGAGGAGTAGTAGGTGAAGGCAGCAGGAATGGACGCAGCGTGGTGGCAGTAGCTGGAGCACAAGTTCCACAAATAGCTACGCCATAATGTTGATATGAAAATGAACCGAGAATCTCCGGTTACAACAGGTACCGTGATCACCGCCGGCATCACCAACCTCATCACTGCCATGAACGGCATCATGACGATCGGGGGCCATAGCAAGAAACAAAAAGTGAACAAAACACATTATTAGAAGTTCACGCAGGTCCGAAAGGCAGACCCCGATTCAGACTCCCTCTTCATGAACAACAAGGACCCTGATGGGGATCCAACCATAGAGAATCACGAAGGCACCCAACCCTAAGAGACCCCGTGTCTTGGCTTCACAGATCCACAGTAATGTAAGAACCTGATTAAGAAACCCTGGGCCCATAACCCAAAATAGTAGAATTCATATAAGGAACCCCAATAAAGATCAAAGGTTTCGTAATCAGGCTCCTACATTACGGTACCACTCCCTCACACCTAAACCCTAAACTTTGAACTCTAAACCACGGTAAGTAAGAAGAGCTCCCTCGCGGCCTTTCTTTGCTGCTGGTTTCTTGGCTTCGGCCTGGTGGAAGACCGGTGGTGGGGGTGGTGGCCTGTTCAGATGATTCCCGAAGACCCAAAGCTCGGCAGACATGCTTGTGGAAATAAATTAGTATGGATTATAGAGTATTCTACTAATATAAGTAACATTAACCGAATATGAAGAATATTGCCCATATACGGAATGCTATCAATATTGTTAGTGAGTCTAGAGCTTGTTGGCGTAAAACAGCTGATGGTACTTAAACCTACTTACTTGCTCCAAACTTGCCATCTGTCCCGACAAACCTCCATTAAAACCTGGAAAGCATTTTTGAACATGTTAAATGGGTTTGGCTATGCCATAGTTGTTTCAGGAATCAGTAAGGAATAGTATTGCTCTTTTCCAAGACCTCCTCGGGATTGAAGTAAAATGGATGGGAGCATCATGCAATTTGAGATGAAGGACCCCATACAAGCACTGAGAAGAACCAGCCCAAAAAAAGACAGCGCAAAAAACAGGGCGCCCGCGGATTCAACACATCTCACAGCCCTCATATACTGCACAAATAAGACGTACGTTACAACCAAATCCAGTTAATTTACATTGGCGCTGCAATGAGCACCCGCAGGGCTCTCTGTTATCTTGTTTTGTAAATGACCGGCAGCAGGGTAGCATAACCGTGTGCGCAGGAAGCAACAGGGCCATGAAGAATGTTGTTGACAGACATCTTTCCCAGCCACCTGCTTGCGGCGCAGCCACAAGCACATGCCGCTCCCGTCGAGCGGTGTTGAAGCGCATGCTTCGACTCTGACACGGTAGGAAATTGGAGCCAGGATTCGTCAAAACGTCGATGTTTTGCACGGTATGCTTCGTCTCACGCTGTGGGAAGGGAAGGCTCTTGAACACCTAAGGCAGGTGTCAGGGGCAGGCAGCTTCCCAGGCATGGGCAACCCCCCCGTCCATAAAGGCGTTTCGCGGGCATTCCTCCCCCTGGGCTAGCCCTCGTGTCCAAACTTATGCGCAGCCAGTCGCCAAAGTGGACCCGCCGATCCCTTAAGCCTAAAGCCTCGAACCCCTAAGTGCAACCCGACTCAACTTCAAACCAGACCCTAAAGCCGGACTACCTGACACCTAAACCCTAAACCCAAATGCAGGCTATTTCTGACTCCACATCGAAACATCTAAACCTCATGCCCGAAAAGCTGCAAGACCCAGCATTTCCGGACCTTCTTCGGTTTTGCCGCTGCCTCTTGTGCTGGTTCCAAAGCCAGCTGCTCCTCAAGCTGAAGGGTCCGAGAGAAAGCGTCAGGTTTTGGGAAGTACATGCACTGCAAAGGTTTGAATAGTGGCCTTGAAACTAGAGTAAGTAGTAGCTTTTTAAGGTATGGGGCAAACCTAGTAAGGGTTTAGGGTGTACAAAAAGGTTTAAGGCTCGAATAGCTCAAAGGGTTTGGGACAGTGTTATAAGGGCTGAGTACCGTATAGCCCAAAAACGGTCAACCTTTTCAAATACGGTAGGGATATATTAACCCCAAGAGGTTAGAGGGTTGCCTAGTCAGCTACAAAGGGAGCAGTTTTCAAGGAGCTCTTGACCCCAAAGGCTAACTTACTTGAAGGCCTTGCGAGCCATAAACCCCGAAATGCTAAAACCCTAAACCCTCAGCCCTGAACCCCGAAATCCTAGAAGCTAAAACCGTAGCTGCTCCTTGGCAATCTTGGCCTTCTGCTCGTACACAGCTTTCTCTGCCTTGTGGCTGCCAGTGAGTCGGGGTTTAAGGTTCTCCTGAGTTTAAGGTTGCCCCGTACTGACAAGAGCATACGGGCACTACCGGAGAACGTCGAAACTACAACCCAAGAGCTCTGAAGTCCCCAGATAAGCACCATTCAAGGAACCCTAAACCAAAACTGTAGACCCTCGAAAGTAAACTCACTAAACCTCACCTGTGGCCCAAAAGACCTGCCTTTTTCAGGAATTATATATAGAAGCCAGAATAAGGAGCCCTGAAAAGGTAGGTCTTTTCGGCTCCAGGCAGACCCTAATCCCGTCAGTACGGAATCTTTACAACCATAAACCCCAAACCCCAATTATAAGTAAGGAATCTTTAGCCGTAGACCCTCAACAGTAAACTCAACAAACCCCAGACCCTAATCCCGCAAGCAAGGAACTCTATGAACCACTTCGAGCATCGTGGAACTTAGTAAGTAAGGTTATAAGTACCTAAATTGGGGTTATAAGTATAGTTACCTTACTTATAACCCTAGTTACTAAGTCCCATGATCCTTTAGGTACCCCCCGAAACCCTGTAGAACCCTGAATAGTAACCTGTATAGATCCCTTAATAGGAGCCCTTTTAAAGGAACCCTAGTTCCTAAGTCCCATCATCCTTTCAGCATGGTTGAGCCTCATCTGCTGCTTTCCAACGTTCCGGAATGGCTTTGGAGATCTCCACAAAACTGGGCCTCAGAATAATGACATTCTCTATACAATGTTGGTAGTTCCCTATTCATTCTAGCATAGTATACCTCAAAACCCTATTCAAATATTAGGGCCCCTACATTAGGTTTAAGGTTTAGGGGCTTAGGATTTAGGGCTCAGGATCGTAACTGGGCCTGACTAGAGAGTCCGAAACGCACCGCTTAAGCCATACGACTCTAGAAAGGCCTGGTGCCCACGCCAACACTTTGGAATACTGTTCCATACACCCAATACAAGCCTTACGGTGCCCGTGACCCCACTACATAATGGGCTCCTACGGATATCTTAAGGAATTAAGCAGTGACAGGCTGACCTTTGTATCACTTTTGAGTCTATTCCTGAAAGAACTCGTCAAACGCTATGAACGGCTATGAAAACCCCTACTGTGGGGTAGGTTCCTCAAGGCACAGTTCAAGGAGTCAAGGGGCTCCTACGAAGAATTGCTTGACAGAAGATGCGGACCCTTCACAATGCACATGCGCAAATCAATTCCCACACTACGCACACACACATTCAAGACTCTCTATCGTACGCATGATCAATCACCCCAAGGTCAAACCTGAATCCTGAACGCCAGCACCGCGAAACCAAACTTCCACACTCTAGCCTTACCTAGGCGAATTTCTTGTTCTAGGCTCCTAACCTTAAAATGGAGTCTGGGAGCTTCCACAGGAACCCAACGAAACTGAAGCTTAAAACCATCAGAATGCTCGGTTAAACTAATCCAAAATGCGGAAATGTTTGGTGTTGGAAGGCTTGAACGAAACAAAACAATCAAAGCCCAATAAGCACCATGGAAACGGCTCTATGCACCTTCACAACCCAAGTAGGGAAGTAAGTAGATCCAAGTAGTTATGAATTTACGGCCACGAAAGCAAACAAGCATCACCTTCTAAAGTTATCATCTGGGCAGTGATTCAAGAAACAACGGCAACGGCTGTTTTTACAATGCTCACGATCGTCGTCCTCATCATGTTCGATCGGTATCGTGCGTGGTTTGTCGAATGTCGTTTTGCTGGTTGTTGTTAGAAGTGTCCTTTCAAGGGTTTCTATAAGGATGCTATAAAGGGTTTCTATGAGGGTTTAGGGCAAGAGCGACTCGGTTCAGGAGCCCGGGCTTCCGCTGCAGGGACTTCTCCAGCTCTTCGACCTTGGCGCGGGGGTTTGGGACGATTGCCGGTGGGCTTAGGGTTTAGGATTTTTGGAGTTTAGGGCTTTAGGGTTTTAGGGTTTAGGGTTTCAGGGTATAGGGTTTAGGGAGGCTTTTGGGCACGATTGCCGGTGGCTCAGAACTGAAGCTTGCCTTGGCGTAGGCATGTTGCAGAGTTGTCTACAGCGTTGGCTCGTAGTTTACAGCTATACAAGCCTATATGTTTGTTCCCTCTAGGGTCAAAACTGGGCTATGTAATATACCCTCTAAATCACAATCATCAAAGTTTATCAAATAGTGGAATCATTGCTCATCATAAGTACCCTAGGCAAAAAGGGACCCTTGATGATCCTAGTTCCCGAACAAACACTACCAAATATTTAGTAAGTTCTGACCCCATAGTTTGCCATAGTTATAGTGTACATTCATACCCTAAAGCCATCCAAAGAACCCTATATACCCAAATACTCCACCCCAAAAGACTTCAATCACTGAAACCATAAGCATTTAAGTCCGTAAAGCCAAAACCGAAAACCCCAAACCCACAAGCCCTCCGAGCACCAGGCCACAGTCGACCGTTGATCTTTCGACCACAGCATGTAGGCCGAGGGCGCATTCTGACAGAGTTCAGAGGTTCGGGTTTAGGGTTTAGTTCAAGACAGGCTATAGGGGACGCATACCGAAAATCATGACGACAATTCTTGCTGTTGTTACTATTGTTCTTTGTTGGGAGGGGGTTATGTCCTTACATAGAGATACATAGAGTAGCACGTGCAAAACGAGTAGACTCTTCGGTTTGTGTTGCAGGCGAGTCAGACCTCTATACTTGCTATACGACTCAGGGTGACGGGGTTCAGCGCTTTGGAATTAGAACCTGGTGCTTTGCAGAGTTTTTAAGGCTTTGGGGGTGTGGTGCGCAGTCTGGGGCGACGTGCCAAGGAACAAGATACGTGATTTGGGGAAGGGGCTTGGTTCGCGCACGTGCTCTTGCGTGTTTGTGGATCTGTCTGTCAGCCTGTGTCGTCCTGTCTGCCTGTCTGCCTGCTGCCTATCTGGCTGTTTGTCTATCTGCCTGTTTGTCGATCTGTCTGTCTTCGCTTACTGCTGTCACATAGCATCCACTTGCTTGGTATGGAACAATTTCTGAAGTGGTAACCTGAACTACGTGCCCGTGCATCTATGGTTGCATGCATCTCAGCAGCAATGCATTGAATGTGGGGACAGCAATGTTGTTAAAGATGCTGAGGACGATGATGATCAAAGAGAACGAAAGTGCTCTTTCTGTTTCTTCTGACTAGCATGCACATGTTCTGATTGATGTTGCAAAGGCCGTTTACTCCACTCCATAGTTATTTGCAGGGGATGTCCCTTGTCAACAAAGGGGCTCTGTACCCCCGGTTGGTTGAATGCCTTGTCCCCATAAGCCCTAAGGAATGCATCATGTGGTATGCTGTTCCCATAGCCTAGGGGAACAGCATACCTAAAACATCCATGAACAGCAGGACCCCCAAGCTGAACCAATGAATCCAACTTGTGACTTAAGCACTGGCGTGTCATGAACCAGCCCCAAAAAGTCTGCAAACAACGGCTCTTATCCGAACCCGCACCAGTACAGCTTCCCTTAAGTTTTGTTCGCCTCCATCCACACATCGCCAATTCCGGCCCAAAATATCGCTAAACCCCGAACTCTAAATCCTAAACCGAACAACAATGTATGTATCTTTCGGGCTTTTGGGGTTTGCATGGGAAAGTATGCGACCTCACAAGTCCCAAACAGTTCTCTTTGATAGTTTGGGGCGTCAAGAGGTACATAGCAATATACCCAAATCTCAGGGCACCGAAGTTTGCGGGTTCTTCTTCCGGGCTTTAGGATTTGGGCTTTGCGGTGCTCGGTTTAGGGCGTTTAGCGTTTCAGTTTCCGGGCCTTCCTCTTTGGAGCTTTGCTCTTCACAGGTGAGAGGGGCTCTGCTGCCGGCACTGCCGCAGCCTTCAAGCACAGGCTTCGGGTGTTTCAGGTGTGGGAATTTTAAGTTTCCTATTGGAGTACTGGTTTAAAGATGAATATTAAAAATAATGATAATTAGCATAACACTCTTAATATGAATGTAAACCCTACAGATTCATGGCTGTTGATTTTTAATTACGGAACGGAGATTCAGGGTTCAGGGTGTCTGACTTCGATGGCTACAGTTCGTGCCTTCTAGGCTTTTAGAGTTATAGTTATAGGCTTGAGTGATGGTTGGGCGTTTCTCGGGTTGCTGATGTCTGCTTACTGGCGCTTTAGTATTAGATGGGCCGAACTTCCCGGAGCAGGACCCCAATAAAGGTTCCCTTCACGAAAACACACAAAAGTGGGCAAGGATGTCGGAACAGAAACCCACTGTCGATGTGCCCGGAATATACCGGTCTCCTAGACGAGACTAGATGGTACCCTCAGGCATATTCTTCTCTTTGGACATATGCATGAAGGCATGCAGGTGCGCATGTGTGCGTGTCTGTCTGGGTGTGACATGCCGAGTGCTTGTGCGTTCCTGTCGGCTTGGTCTCCCCTTTGTTCAGCAATCGCGAGGAGCTCGGCCAAGCATCATGTGTCACGAGTGTCGCCCACTCGCCAAACAACAAGGTCCCCTAAACCCTAAACCCTAAATGAAAGTTGTCCCCATGCTGTCCAGTCTGTTGATGGAGGCCCAGGTCTTGGGCTAGCAGACCACGAGTGTGGCGGCCACCGCCTGTCGTTTCGCCCGCCAGTTTTAACCAAAGCACTTGTCCAGATTTTTCTCCGGCAGCGGATGATTGAAACCGGGGCCATAGTGGTCGTGAGCCGAGCCTGCCAAGATCGTTGCTGGTGGCTCCAATACCGTTTGCCGACGCCTTTTTGAGCTACTGGTACATTGCATGAGCAAGAAGAGCAAAGCCATGCGAGTATTCTATCATTCGGGACCTTTAGCCGGATATCTCTAGTCCCCTCACCCTTTTCCTACCAAGGTGCAAAACTTATAAGAATATTTTCTGGGGAGGATGTAGGTAGGCCACGGCACCTTCTGATAAAACCACGAATGCTGTAGGGGTTTAGGGTTTATGGCTTTAAGGTTAAGGCCTATAGGGGTTTACAGCACTCAGTGATGGGTAAGGGGCTGTACCAAAGAAGCCTTGAGCCAAACCCGTTTGGGGAAGCCATAAGCAGAACATCAACCAAGACAGTCCAGCAAGAGCTTAGTACCCGCCCTGGTGAAGCCCTGCATCTAGTAACAAGCCACCATGCCCCTCCATGAACCCAAAGCCCATAGCCCGACTGAGCAAGCAGTATTGCAGCACCATAATGACACTTGCCATACGCACAGCACTCTTTTGAACTGCCCCGTTTTCCAGTTTTCCAGCGACTAACGAAATATTACAATGGTCAGGTTCAGCAACCTTTTACGACGCCGAAACACAAGAGTTTCAGTAGGCCCTCGGGATTTGTGGGCGTCCCCCGCAACCCCTGAACCCCTTTTCGGCCCAGAGTGAACAGCTCGAGATCGAACCTGGGTTGGGTTCACAATGCTTCGACCAAACATCTCAGCAGAACTCCTGCGACATCCTTCGTAAAAGACACGGCCTTTACAACGGTGTCAAAAAGTGGAGACACAAACCCAACACTCTGACCCCTACGTCCTAAAACCTAATTGCACAAGTAACCCTCGAACATAAACCTAAAATCCTGAACCCCCAATCCCAAACCCTCAAAACAAAGCCAAAACCCTGAACAGCCCCGTCCCGGGAAACACCTCAGGAGTAGCCAAGACCTTCCTTCTCTTCGGGGTTGGCTCCTCTCCAACTGCTTAAGGGAATTAGAAGGAGGACTCGGATTCAGGGTTTAGGTCTACGCAAATTATGAGGATTCTATGTGATGTGGGTGCTTTTGGAAACTTACAAAGGCTGTAATAATTGGCTTGGTGTTGGGATGTTTCGTCACCTCGGGTTCGTCACGGAGACGTTCGCGATCCTGCTGATCATTCAGCTTTGCGTTGTCGTCGCTCGATTTCTTGCCCAGGCTCTCTGGGAGTGCCAATCTGCTCTTCAGCTGAAGGACCCAGACCTTCCAAATCCCTTAGATACGGAATATACCTTATATCATATATATATATATGTATATATATGGGAATCGTAGGATTCACAATCTGATTTGAGATATATTCCTTCATTTATAAGGAATATACCTTAATGTATATGTAGTAGGATTCACAATCTGAGTTCAGGTATATTCTTTCATTAAGGAATGTAACTTGAATTATACATAGTAGGATTCACAATCTGATTTAACGCATACTCCTTCATTAAGGAATGAACCTTAAATTGTATATAGTAGGATTCACAATCTGATTTACGGCATATTCCTTCATTAAGGAATATACCTTAAATTACATATAGTAGGATTCACAACCTGATTTCAGGTAGATTCCTTCATTGAAGGATTTTGGAAGGTCTGGGGATCTCGCTCGCGTGCTTCTTCATGGCCAAGTGGGTCTCGGTCAGTAACTCGATGTCAAAATTCTAACAAACCCCAAGGGTCCAAGTACCTAATAATTAATCATATGCTCTTCAAAACCCTAACCTAAATACCTTACTATCCCAAACCCGAACACTAATAAGGGTTCTAACAAGCATGTTGACGTCAAATCTTTATCCAGTTCTGCGAAATGCGGATACAGTAGGAGCCTTTCACGCGAGCTAGCGACCTCCTCCTGGCGAAGAAGCTCTCCCACGGCGTACTTAAGGGATCAGGGGTCATGGGACTTAGTAACTAGGGTCACAAGTATATAAGGTAAGTATACTTATGATTACTTATAACCCCAATAAAGGTAACTTATAACCTTACCTACTAAGTCCCATGATACTTCAAGTAGCCTCCGCTCTGCCCTCTTTGTGGCCTCCAGTGCTGCGACCATCTGGGCATTGTCGTCGCGAAGCCGGCTGTTGTTCCACTTAGAGACTCCAAGTCCTTGTTCCACCACAACCCCTCCACTTTTCCATCAGGAACTCATTGTTCTTGGTGTTCTTTCTGCTCTGTCTGGCCATCCATGGAGGAGCCCTAAACCCTAAACCCTATAAACCCTGAACCCTAGAGCCTCTGCAGTGGCACTTTGCCAGACCATGTCTTCAAGTGGGTCTATACCGCCTCCTCGGTCTCCTCCTCCTCGCTTCTTGCCGCCTGGTCAGTCGTCGCTCGCTTTGCCTCCGATGAGATTTGGGAGTTTCCGAAAACTAGGGGTACCTTATTTTGGGGTCCTCATAATAAGGATCCTGCCATATACTATATTAGGGTCCCCTATTTTCGGAAACTCCCATTTGGGTTGAGGTTTAGGGTGTAGGGTTTTGGGTTCTTAGGCCGTAGGATACCCTAAATCCTAAAAATCTGGGCTTATGATGGCATGCAGGGCGTAGGAGCGCGATTAACTGCTGGATTGAATGAAAGCTCCAGAAAACCGACTAGAAGGATTCTATAAGCCACAGACATATAAGGTTAAGCTTTACGGTTCCGACTAAACTACAAGAGCCCAAAAAGTTGAAAGGTTGGGTATTGGGGAGGTAAGTATAGTCACTGCGACCATGATTACCAGTCGAGCAAGGTTGAAACGAAACATGACATGGGCCTAACCTGCGGATCCAAGAATCTAAGTTGGGGGCCTTATATTTTGAGCAGGGCTCTCGGGAATAACTATGAAAGTGTTTCCAATGGGGGGGGGGACTAAAGGATAGCCTTTGGGAGTAGATAGGGATTGTACTAGGCAAAAACGATTAATTACCCGCTACCTACTGCTAAGACACCTACGGGACCGACCCTTACAACCGCTGTACGGTCTAGGAGTCTAGGGCTAAGGCTAGTAACTCTCAACGCTTCGTGCTTAAGCGGGCTAAACCCAAACTCCTAAACCCAACCTTAACCGTGCGTAAACAATCTCAAGTCCGAAGCGCAGAGGCACCCCAGCTACCACGAGCAGAACCGAAAACCTTACTTGGAGGAGCATGGAACTTAGAAAGGTTATAAGTAACTGACAATAGGGGCTCGTATTTATATCCCTAGTTTCTAGCCCCATGAACCTTCAAGTAGGAAGCCGACCCCGACAGCGTGTCAGTCAGACGCTACAGAACTTGACCCTGCACCACCCACCCAGTGTCTCCAGACCCTCTTCTTTGATGCTTAGAAGCGTTGCTTGTTTACAAATCATTACAAATCCCACCAAAACTCAACCTCTGTCCTGCACCTGCACCACCGGCGGCAACAAAGGCGCCGCATTTTGAGCTTCGGTGACCTGGGTCAGGAACGAGAAGCAAGCAACGGTTCTTTCAAGGTTTCGGTATTTACCTCTAAGAGCGCTACCTGGGCGAGGGGATGCATAAGGAAGCTCGGAATGAGGAGCCAAAACGGCGGACATGTTTGGCGTCTACCGGTAGGTCTGTGACTGAGGTATCTACGGCTTTGCAGCAAGCTCCGAGCTCTAAAGCCCACAGCCTGAGATGTGAAATCCCGCCTACCCTCGACTGTAGGCCAATACAGATGCGAGGATCCCTACTCAGAAACTCCAATACCTCTACCTTCCGCAACTTAAAGGAATACTTCCCGTATAAGGGGGCTTTCCGAAACCCCTGAAAACCCTAAACCGCAAAGCCCCAGCCTTAAAACATCATGATCGAGAGTATAAAGCTGACCCTAAACCCTGCAGTCCAAATCGCACCCTCAGAAATCTGAAACCCTGCAGTGAACTGCAAGCTGGCGCTGCCGACAGTCTCCTCCGGCACGACGACTGGCCAATCCTCCGACGATGCTGCTAGCAGCCGATGGCCGCAGCTCCAACCATCGGGCTGCTTCGGAATCAAACCGTCCTGCAGCTGATACTTGCAGCCATGGACGGCCTCGGCTTTCGCAAGTAATTCCTGGGGCGCCTGGGCTCGCACAGCTCCTCGCCTCAATCCATCAAACCACACTGCCTTGCTCTTGCCCCGACTTGGAGCGATCAAGGCCCAATGAGTCGCATCACAGAGCACTCCCAGAACCAACTGGGATGGCTGCTGCAGGAGAAGGAGTTGCTTGGTCTCCTCGCTGCTGCAGAGAGTGACACAGAGGCGTCTGGGCCACTGGATGCCCCGATACCGTCAAGTTCACGATCCATGTCGTCCTTCGCGAGGAGGATCGAAGTAGAAGCAGCTTGTAATGTGTTCGTACGCAGGTCAGGGTGTGCCCGTATCCGGACTCGACTAGCAACAGTAACACTCGCAGTGGAGTCAAGAGGAAGTCCGCATCCCATGGATCGTCATCGTCCCGATCAGTCCAGCTCTTCCTTTTGTCCCAGCAACCAGAATCACACAAAGAGCCAAGCCAGCGCGATTCCTTCGCGCTTCCTGCAATGATCCCTGCTGGCATTCTTTGTGGGACAGCTGTATGATCACCTCAACCACACACATGTGCCCCAGAACCTTAGCACCCTAAACCTCTTGACAAGAATTACGTGATATCATTGATATCACACCAAAACCGACGACGAAAAGTCAACATTGAAAAGTGTAGCGAAACGCCCTGCGGGGAGCCCACTGAGGCCTTGTATCCGTTAGGTCATAGATCTGCATTTAGTTGGGACTTGATGTCAAATGCACAACCCTACAGGTTACAGTCAAACCTCATTGAAACCCCAAGCCCCAACACACCCAAACCGCTGACCCAAAACCCTGTATGCCCTATGCAGCTCTTACGGTATGCCAACAAGAAACTGTAGTCAACCTGACCCCGCAGTGACTGACTTGCAAACCCTAGCTGGGATGCACGACCAGATCTTCGGCAATGGAGCGGATTTCACCCTGACGCTCGCATGTCGGGAGGTGTCTAGGGCTTGCAGTATACGGGGCCGGGCAAAGAGGAATATCAGAGGTTGTTTCTTATGAACCAGGAGTTTAGGGTTTTGGGGCTTTGGGGTTTGAATTTTCAAGGGTTTCTTAAACAAAATTGGGTTTGCAAGTTCGAGATTACAGGGTTTAGGGCAAATACCGGCCCACAAAAACTAGAAACTAGAAAAAGGTCTGGGGATGCATTATACTACACTAGACTACACGTATAATAAGGAACCCCTGAAACACAGCTGATGCCGACAAAAAAAATTATAACCTTGAACATCCCCATGGCTCCCCTGCTACCCCCATATTTAATATTGCATTGATGCAGGGGTTAAAACCAATGCCTGTGCGAATGCCAAAAATCCTGCATGACCCCATGGCGATGCAACATTGAAACTAAGGGGTTGCGGGGAAACAGACAGTGCGACGTGAGGTATGTCCGGTGATCTAGGTCATGCAGGATTTCGGGCATCAACACCAGTGTTGGTGATTTTCGAGGCTCCCATATTCGGACCTTGACTTTATCGCTTCTGAGCTCGGGCCTTCACGGAGGATCTGTACACATCCCTGAAACATATAAGTAATATAAGAAATCCTACGATAATTTGCGATATATTCATTCGAACTGAAACGTAAATCTCATTGGGAATCCTACAACCCTAAACCTGAATCGCAACCTCAGACCTACAGCCAAAAACCTTAAAGCTAAAACCTTAAAGCCCAATCCCTGAACCCAACAATTTAAAAACCTGAGCCGTAAATCAACAAAACTGAACCCTGGAACACAAACCCTAAGCCCCTAAGCTCTAAAACTTAAACGAGGACACCTAGCCTTAAAGCCTAAAGCCTGGAACCTAATATAGGGGCCTTCATAATTAGAATAGGGTTTTGGGGCCCATTATACTATGAATATAATAAGGAACCACCGAAATAGTATAGGGAATTAACAATAAGGCCCCTATACTACATCCCCATCAGAGCCGTTATAGTAGCCCCAATAGTAACCCTTATTGGCCCTTTTCCAGAGCCCTTTAAGAATTATTAAGGGCCTCTATAATACTCCTGAACACATCACCCGTAAACCGTAAAAACCCAGGACGCGAGGCCTTCCGCTCGTTGAGGCCTCCGGTTGGCAGATCAAGACCTGGGGGCGAGGATCCCAAAGACTCCAATATCCCTTTAATTAGGGAATATTCTCTAAATCATATTTGGGATCCTACTATAATCTAAGGTATATTCCTTAATTAAGGGATATTGGAGTCTCTGGGATCGTGGCACTTAGTAAGGTTCCTTCAAGGGTTCCTTAAAGGCACCTTAAAAGGGATCCGTAAGGGATTTTTAAGGAGGATCATGGCACTTAGTAACCAGGGCTATAAGCAAGACAACTGTACTCCAAACTACTTGTAACCCCAGTTGAAGTACTTATGAGCTTACTTACTATATAAGTCCCATGATCCTCCAAGTGGGTGTGAGGAGAAGACTATTTAAGGTTTAGGATCTAGGGAATCTAGGGTAAGGGTTTATAGGCTTTAGGTTTTAAAGTTTAGGGTTAGTTGGGATAGTCGTAAGAATCTCTACTCCTTCAGGAACCTGTAAATTTCCACAATCTGCTGCATATACCCTAATCCGTTAACGGCCCCAACACCACATATATCGAAAAGAGAAATCTCCACCACCCTCTTGAAACTAATATGGTGGCCTTCATAATTAGAATAGGGTTTGGGGGCCCATTATGATATATATCCTAGCTCCACCACTGCGGCCGGGGTGCGTGTCTCCAGTTCCACTCGGAGGGCCTGGATCGTGCACCAGCAGATAGTCAGGAACAGGGTTTCCCTGGGGGGTCCATGTGCCCAAAAACTGATCCTTGAAGGGTTCCTTTAAAGGGTTCTACAAGGGTTATATAGGGTATATAGCGTATAAGGGTCAGGTACCCAATTAGTATATACTTTGGGCCCAATCTACCTATATAGGGAGTACTTTAAGGCCAAAGTATACACCATTTAGGTACATGGACCCTTGGGGTTCCTTAACACGGTCCATGAACAGGGCTCTGTACTACTACTGGGGTTAATATTCGGGTTTAGTCAAAGGGCCTTGATAATGCAGAGGGCTTAGGGGCATGTTCTAAAGAAAGTATGTTACGGACCACAGAGGAACAATATTGGCAATTATTCGGGCTTCTGTATTGATTGTATGACATAGAGGTCTACGGTTCAGGTGCGCTTTAACTAAGAAATCGAAAGGAGTGAGCGCAAGATGCGATTCATTCATACTCCCTCGCCAACTAAGTCAAGCATGGAAGCGCATTGGGCCCAAAGTATATACTAATTGGGTACAGGACCCTTATACCCTATATACCCTATATAACCCTTGTAGAACCCTTTAAAGGAACCCTTCAAGGATCAGTATTTGGACACAAGAAGACTCGCCAGGCTGGTCAATCCAGTTGCGTTAGGGGTTCAAGGCTTAGAGGTTTGTGGGGGTGATGCCTTTATAGTAGTCTGTGGTTCTGGGCACTATCAGGCTTATGCAGCGTTTGGAGAAGAGCAACCCACCACATAGGCAACTTTCTAGGGCGAGATCTCACAACTTCATTACATGGCAAGTTTCTTTTCTCTGAAGCGTTCAGGATAAGAACGTAGTAGTGTAGGTTAGGGCACTGGGGAGTGTATGATGATCAGGTACTTGCACCCTTACTGCAGGATCCATACCGTAAGGTGCTGTGAGGGGCGAGCCGTAAGGAGCTTGCGTACTTGATTGCATTGGTTTAGGGTTCGGGAGTTGAAGGTTTCGGGTTCACAGTACGTATAAGCCCCAAAATTGGAAACCCAATAGCCTCAATCCTAAAGAGTAATGTATAGGGAATCCCAGCACTGATTGTCCTTAATCCGGTATCCAACTTTTCCCTAAGGTCCAAGTACCTAATAATCATGTATTCCCCCAAATAGTAACCTACAAAGGTACTATCCGTAACCCAAGTACCTGATTATTGGGTCCTTTGGACCCTTAGGGTTTTGGGGAGTCTACTATAGTTGTTAGGCGAGGCCGATGATATTGGCTCTGCTGGCCTTGAGAGAGATGCTGCTGAGGTCTTTGCCCAAGAGGTAGGTGCGAATCTCCTTTTCGAATCACCGAACCCAGAGGAGCCCGAATACCTACCAGGACCCCGAATGGCCCTTTAATGGAATCCTTATGGCCCTTAATAGTGGGTATTGGGGTATATTGAAGGGTAATTGTTGTGGGCACTGTCATTACAGCATATACATGTACCACTCACACTCACACTCACAATCTCAAGGGAGGGAGTTTCGAGGAGTCTTGCTGCACACACACACACATAAGTGGGTCCAAGGCCTGGTAAACTACCTATGTGGTAGCTGCGGCTACCGAGAAGCCTGAGCTTGAGGCTCCTTGGCAGTCTGGAGCCTGGTCCCGCGTTGCGGGGATACTCGCATCTACCGGTGGTTTTAAAGTTTAGTGCTGTTTATCCGATTCTACACTCAGGTGATCGCGAACATCCTCAACCCTAAACCCTAAACCCTAAGCCCTAACCCTAAACCCTCAACCCTAATTTAGGGTTTGCTGTCCGCAACCTGAGCCGCAACCTGAGCTCTCTTCATCTCTCCCCGAAACTTAGCTTCGCAAGGTTTGGGCTAAGTTTAGAGTGTAGGACTTCAAGCAATTTACATCGTCTATTCGTCTTCAGGGAGTTCGCGATTAGAGTTTCGGGGTGCTGGCTCGGAATTTGATAAGTCGTGCTCAACTTTGTTGCTGCTCATCTGCATGGAGCACCTCGTTGAGGACATGTTGCTTTCTCTCGCTGCCCAGTGCCTGTACTTGGAGGATCATGGGACTTAGTAAGTAAGGCTATAAGCACTTTGATTGGGGTTAATTGTATACTTACCTTGGTTATAAGTACCTTTACCTGCATAATAAAGCCAACGCCCACAACCCAAAAACAGAACCTCGAAACCCAAGCCCCATACACAAACAAAGACTGAATCATAAATGCCTACAGTGCTAAACCCTGAACCCCGTAACCCTAAACCCCTAAACCCCTAAACCCCTAAACCCTAAACCCCTAAACCCCGTAACCTTAAACCCTAAAGCAATAAACACCGGAAACCGAGCTTAGTGGCCTTCTTGAGCTCGTCTACCGACGGCTGCCGCGGTCCCGCTGCACGAGGTGGGGGCGAATCCTCATACTATAACGGCCTTACTAATCAGAATAGGGTTTGGGGGCCCATTATACCATACTTGTAATCAGGAACCGCCAACATAGTATGGGTAGTTATTAAGGCCCCTATATGATCCTTACTAGCCGAAGGGATGGGCTTCAGGTAACTTCATGAGGCCTTCATGGTTTGAATTAGGGCTGCTTGAAAGATTTGAAGGGGTTCCAATAAGGGTCCTAGAAATGTTCCTTTAAAAGTATGATAAGCGCTTATCAGCCATTGTACGGGTGTGATGTAGGAGCCGCAATGATCAGATTAGGATTAGGAACGTTTCGGGGAAGTTTTTCTTCAACTACATGGGGTTCAGTGCTGCCAAAAAACTCCAACCCCAAAACAACACGGCTTCAGGGTGTTGAGGTTGAGAACTTCAGGAGTTCAGGAGACCCGAACCGCTCAAAAGTCCCGAACTGGGTGGGGGGGGGGGGGGGGGGGGCAGCCTTGTTGTCAGGACCCCGCCGGGATATTGAGGGTTGTGGGTTCAGGGCCTTGTAAAAAAAAATCATAAGTTTGAACGAAGAGGGGCTTCCGAAAATTGCACAAGGTGCCAGGGCATGAAAAATGATCAGAAAATAGTTTTGGTACTTAAAATAACTATGGATAAGGGCAGTTGCGACAGTTGCTACTACATGTCCAGACCTCTGTATTGCTGGTTTAGGGTTCCTTCAACAAGGATCCTGCTATTTCCGGTCTAGCCATGCTCCGCGCGAAAGCCCGCAAACGATTGCACTGCTGATGGACAATAATCCTGCACAGGCTGAACTACTCTGAACCATGATGTGAACAATTGCAGGTCCCGTATTGTGGAAGATATAGGGTTCTCTTCATCAGCAGTATGACCTCTGATCCAAAACTACAACACCTTAGGACTCAGTGAAGACCCTACCTAGATCCTAGGATGTGGTACTTTTGTGGGGATAACATGCTTCATAGACAGGATAGGAAAATACAGAAACGAGAATGCTACCCTGTAGAGCCTAGGCAGAACCGTATCGAATCTCAATGATCGGTCCTCAATATCGACGATCTCGGCCATTGCAAGGAACGACAAGACCTCGGCGTTCAGAGAGGGATTCTGGATCCTACGAACGTACGCAGAGGCTCAAACACGACTGAAGCTAAGAACAATCGCGAACTTTGACACTGCTCCTTCATATGGGAAGTTGTAAACATTATGGTGGAGCTTTTCTTTTTTAAAGGTTTGGCGGCCCGTTTCTCAGGTTTGAAGGGATATGCATTCGTTTGTAAGGCCAGCTACTAGGACCCCCCCCCTCCCTCTACCCCCTCCCCCCCATTCGACCCTTCGGCTTCGAAGGCTTCGAAGCCCCCTTCGCCGAAGGGTCCCCGGATGCAGCCGCCAGGCAGCATCCGGAGACTTTCACGAAGGGGAGGCTTCAGCAAGCTGAAGGCTTCGAAGCTTTCGAAGGGGAAGGTCGAAGGTGGCCCTATTAAAATAAGGACCCAAAAAAGGACCTCAATTTTGACAACCACCCAAACATGATCTCCATTTTCAATCCAAGAGCTTCAACCACCCCAAACAAAAGAGAACGCCAGAACATCCTTCTTCCTCAAGCCCAAGCTACCAAACACCCTGAATCAGCCAAAGGAATGAGAGGTCATCATCATCAACAAAGACAACATCATCGCAATCGTCATCGCCATGGCCATCACCACCATCAAGATAATCATCATGGTCGTCGTCGTCGTCGTAAGCATCACCATCACTGCCACCAGCACCATCATCAGCAGCAGCATCATCAGCATAGCCATCACCATCACACCACAATCATCACCATCGTCATGATGATGATGATGATCATCATCATCAACATCATCATCAACACCACGTTCATGAGTCTATCCTCAATTCCCCACCCGAGGCCGTCACCGAGGGGTGTGTTCGGAGTGGAGGTGCTGAGAGAGCTAACAAATTAACAGGGTGAAACCACGCAAAGAGCCGAGAAGAGGCGGCTGGCGGAAGCAATTGGAGATGCTTCGCAGTGACTAGCGGCCTTCTACTACAAAGGTTTGTAGGGTTTGAGGTTTGTAATAAGGCCCAAAAGTGAACCGCAAAACATGAAAACATCCTACTCCCGAAATCCTACAACCTTTGCAAACTCTAGCAGCAACCCAGGGCTAACCCTATAAACCCTAAACCCGGACCATAATTTTGACAACCACCAATAGAGTTTAGGGTTTAGAGCTCTCCAAATCGGGGCCTTTTTTAGGAACCCTAAAGAAGGCGTCCCTATGAAGAAAAGGACCCGAAAAGGAAGCCTAATTTAGACAACTACCTTTTTGAACAAATCTGTCTTCAGGAACAGTAAGTTAGTAAGGGGCTTTGGGGGCTTCAAGGGAGTTTATCAATGAGGCCGTACGGGGTATTGTAGGAGCTTTGCCGATGTGTTAAAGAGGTCTATGGGGGGTTAACTAGTCTTACTCAGTCTTCAGGCACCCAGCTACATGATGCCATCCATGCAAGAACTACCTCATTCCAGTGGTTCAGAATTTGGAGTTTCGTTCATCCATAAACCTTAAACCCCCAGCCCCTCAACCCGAAACCCTGCGTTCAGCGTTGAGGGCTTCGAGGTGCAAAAGGGTCCCATAAACCTAGTATAGGGGCCAGGGGCCTTAATGAGGGCTTTAGGGGTATATTATCCATAAGTCCAATAAGGATCCCACCAAATAGTATAGGTAAGTATGAGGGCCTGTCTATCCTAAACCCTAAACCCTATACCTTGAACCCTACATCTTAACCCTGTATATCCCAAACCCTCAACCCTGTACCCTCAACCCTAAACCTTAACCCCAAACACGCCCCCTTAATGATGCCCTCAATGAACCCGTATAGTACCCCCTTATAGATCCCTTAAAGCAACCTTTATAGATCCCTTAAAGGAACCCTTAGAGACCCCTCAAAGGAACCCTTCTAAATCCCTTAACGGAGCCCTTACAGATCTTTTAAAGGAACCCTTACAGATCCCTTTAAGGCACCCTTATAGATCCCTCAAAGGAACCCTTAGAGATCCCTTAAAGGAATCCTTACAGTACCCCTTAAAGATCCCTTCAAAGGAATCCTTGTAGTACACCTGAAGGATCCCTTTAAGGCACCCTTATAGATCCCTTAAAGAAACCATTATGGTACCCTTAAAGATCCCCTAAAGGCACCCCCAAAGAAACCCTTCTAGGATCCCTTTAAAGGCACCCCCTAAACCCTAAACCCTAACGGTCCCTTAAAGGAGCCCCTTAAAGAACCCCAGAAGGGACCCAAAGTCCCTGAAGGTACCGAGGCGGGGGGGATGGCACTTGCTCGGCTGCTGCCCCTCAGGGCCGTAGTACCTCGGTTTTGGGTTTGGGGCCTTTTGGGTTTGGGGTTTAGGGTTTAGGGCCTTTAGGGTTTGGGGTTTAGGGTTTAGGGCCTTTAGGGTTTGGGGTTTAGGGTTTAGGGCCTTTAGGGTTTCGGGTTGAGGGTTTCAGGTCTGGGTTTTGGGTTTAGGGCTCTAGGGGCGCCTCGTTCAGGTCCTCTTACCCAAAGATCAACGAGTCCTGTTGCAGGTAATGCTTTCCGCAATTCATATCTCGCGGTCTGAGGTTTGGATTTGAGGGTTTGAAGGTTAGGGCCCTGGGGTATCTCATTCCCCCAATATGAGCGGTAATTCGTCGCGATTAAATAATGTGTAGCTTGGGGCTTAAGTCAACCGTCTTAATTGAGATTCCCGATTTTCGCGCGCACGGGACTATGCTTCTTCCAAGGAAGCTTACTTACCTTGTTGGGAGGCTTCTTAAACGGAGGTTTCCTGATCCTCCGACCCCTATAGCACTCGAGTTAGGGTTTTGAGCCCTTTTGGCCAAACCAGGGCGCAAGGGGCCGAGGTTCTTCAAGGAAAAGGGTATCCGGTTGTCTGGCGCTTGGGGGGTGGAGCATGAAGCTTCTGGCGGGTCTTTACAGGTGTAGGGCTTCAATATAGACTGATGTAGACCACACATTAACAAGGGCCCCCTGAGTGGCCTGCATTCTGGAGTTTGTCCTTTTGGGGAATGTGCGAGAGGAGCCGAGAAAGATGGTGATAAGGATTCAAACTCTGAAAAAACGCTGACAACCTCCAGTGTGGTGCCCACCTTGTCTGCTTCTTGCAATCTCTACAAACTGATACAAAATACTGTCAGGGTGCCCTTGCTGCTCGTAGTAGCAGCGGCAGCATAACATCAAGGGAAGCCCAAAATCCGAAATCTCTCAATGAACATCATCATAAAACCTAGCCTTGCAAACCTCATGCAAACCCTAAAACCACAAAGCCCCAAACCGCGAAGCCCTAAAGACTCAACCCTAAACCCCTCAATCCCAAGATGCCGAACCCTGAAACCCCCAAATCCTAAGAGCCTCAACCTACACCCTCCATCTACCCTCCATTAGACCCTAAATGCCCCTTATTTGGGACCATATACCCCTATTTGAGGGTACAAGGAGGGTCCTGGAAGACAATTTAAAATCAAACCTCTGAGCGCTCTGCTTGACGAAGGGAAGTTTTCGGGCGCCTTGCTTGTGGCACAGGCCCTCGTACCTGCATGCACGTCACGGTCTAGGGTCTAGTAGCATGTAGGGTTAAGTATCCGAGCAGCCCTAAGACCTGCTGGACGTGGGGGCCTCAAGAATTTCGAGCTTTAAGGTTTAGGGTATTTGAGAGTTTAGGGTTAAGTAACCCTCAGGTACAGGGTTTCGGGATTTGGGGGTTTAGGGTATGGGGGCTCTGTGGGGGTTCTTTGAGAGGCTCTGTTCAGGTTCGAGAAGGACGACGAGATCTATCGGGTCGGGGTTCTGTAGAAGCTCAAGTGTTGATATCCCGAGAGCAGAGGGTCCTAGGGCAAAGAATCAGAATCAGCAACAAAGAAACCACAAATTTCTACTTCTCACAAATTTTTATTGGGAAACTCTGGCATTTTCTTTTGTATTCTCGCACTGAACGGAGAGCGTCCTACAAAACTACACAGCTGTTCTTTGTGTTGCAGGGTGTGGGGGTTGAGGGATCTAGCGATTACAGTGTAAGTGTTTTCGTGTTTGTCGGCTTCGGGCTCAATGATGGGAGGCTCTGAAGCTCTGCACGCTTAATGAACGGTATATACCTTCAAGAAGGTGACAGACTCATCAATTCAGCTGTATAGGCATTACACCCGGAAAGCCACTGCATGTTGATTATGAGCTGAATTACGGGGCGCTGGAGTGTCTGGATGTTGCATAACCTTGCTCTTCAGTTGCTCATGAAACTCTAAGCCTTACCTTATAACACCGACAAACAACTGGGTTGTTTGGGGTTCAGCTGAAGCCCAAACTCATGGTTGATTCCGCCGGCCTTCCGCAGTTCACCGCCCCGGCTTCGACGAGGGCCGAGCCCTACGGTTCTTTGTTTGGCGACTCTTAAAACCCTATTCTAATTGATTATTAAGGGCCGTGTCTTATAGTACTCATATAGTGTCCCTTATAGTAGCCCTTATATAGACCCCTTTGAGTCATTGTTGTATATTAGGTCTTCTGGTTTAAATTTAGGCGTTTCTGGAAGAAGTGTGCATAAGGGGTGCGCAAGAGGTTTATCCGGTCTTCGGGTGAAGGGCTTGCAGTTCGGGATGCAAGGTTTAGAGGTACTCTTCCTCTCGACTCTTGGTTACCGGAATGGGGTCCCTACTGCAAGCGCGAAGTATATCGGTGGTTGTCAAAATTAGGGTCCCCTTGTTGGGTCCCTATTATAGTACGGCACCTAATATTTAGGGTACCCAAAAAGTGACCATAATTGTGACAACTACCCACATGCTTTTTCTGGAGTCAAATACAGGACCGTCAATTGGAGTACGTCTCAAGCGAGGTTTCGTGCCCAAGTATGTGCTCCAAACTAGGTATCTAGGTAAACATTAGGTTATGTATTCGTCTACCTAGTGTGTTCAGTGGTTCAGTAGCCGGAACCCTAAACCCCGAACCGCTCGACAGGAATGCGGTCATTGACAATCTGGAGGTCTACCGAGATATAAGACGTTCATGCTGGAATACTTTACCCACTTTCGCAGGAAAAAACTTGGACAATATCCTCGGAAACAAGACCTTGCCGTCACTTGGATAAGTCCCAAACAACCAGCGCCCCAATACACGTGGTGCCGAAATTCCTCAAACTCCAAAGCTCGAGCTCGAAAGCCCTAAACCCCGAAAAACACCCTAAACCCCAGTATGCCGAAACCCTTAATTATCGAAGCGCTATGAAACCCTAAACCCATCAAACCCCGCTGCTCCGATCCCGAGAATATACCCAGAGCGGTGGCCTGCACGAGCTTGGAAACGAAAGTGGTGAAGGCCTCTCGCAACTCCTGAGGTGAGGTTGACGGACTTAGGGTGTGGCTGGAGCAGAAAAGACCTACCTTTTGGGGATCCTAATAATGGCTTCTATATATATATATACACATATAAACAAATAAATAAATACATAGTTCCATAAAAAGGTAGGTCTTTTGGGCCACAGGTACGCTCCGTGGCTTAAAGTATCTAGAGTCCTTTGTCACGCTTTTACTTTGCAGCCGAAACATGCAAAACTTGCACCCCCCCCCGTTGTCACTCAGGCTTAAGAACTTCAGAGTTTGAGTCTCAAGGCTTTCAGGGTATTGAAAATTAATTGTGGGCTTGCGGCCGGTGCAAAAAACAGCTCGGGCCTCAAAGGGCTCCCATGGGTAGAAACGAAAGGTTCTGCCTGTTCATAAGACTCGTGGACCCTCTGGGCTTCAAGCGATCTCCATAGCATCTCCTAACCTGCGAGCCCAGCAATGCAACCTTAAGGGCTGAGTACCCTGGCCCACAAAAGGTTAAGCTTTTGAATCATAGTAATTACAGTATGCTTATATACACCCCGAAAGGTTGAAGGTTAAATGAATGGGCTGGTGTCTACAGTTGGCAAGTTCTTGACCCTAAACCCTAAACCCTAAACCCCTTGAAATTAGGGTCCCTGTTTAGGAACCCGACAGCTGGCGGCACCCTTGGGTATCGAGTATCCTAGGTTCCTGAATGAATTCTGAGCCCATGCCGAAACTTTAGCACATCCCCGACCCAATCTGGATCCCTATATGTGGTACCTTCGCTTGTTTCCCTGGGCTTCTTTTGAACTAATTTAGACCATCCAGCAAACAGTTCTACATTTTAGGGTCCAGTTACACTGGCTTCGATAGTGGATTCCCCATCATTGTGACGACTGCTGACCTCCATCTCTCCAAGGTCGGACTCATAGAAGAGGACGACAATATTCCTTCAAAGTTCTGGTTGGGGTTTCCAGGTTTCCCTAAACCTTAAACCCTCATGACACCTGTTGTCTAGGCCTTCAGAGTCAAGGTACAGAAAGATCGGAGTATGTTCAAGGCGAGTGCAGAGAAGTAGCTGTGGCCGCAGAGACCTTATTAGGATACGCACGTGCATCCTCTACGCAAGATCTAGATGCTGCAAGGTCTCGGTGGCGCATTACAATAGGTTTCAATTTTTGTGCGAACCCCTCACAATGCTAAAACATATAGACCCCTTTGTAAGTATACCTAAACCTTTAGCCTTTCTTTAGGGGTTGGACTTCAGCCAGTAAAGCCTGTAAGTATTCTTCTACGTGTTCCATGCAGGAACCTTTGCATAAGAGTCCCTACCTGTACCCTGAATACCTACCTTTTTAAGGTCTTACATAAGGAAATCACAATAAGGAGCCCTAAAAAGGGTAGGCTCTTTAGGGTCCAGGTATATACCCTCAAGGGAACACCATTGAAGAACCCTAAAATTTGATGCCATGGAGGGCCTCCTCGACGCGCTTTCCTCCATGTCCTCCTTCCGAGAGGAGGCGGGAGGGTATAGGCTTTGGGCTCCTGTTCGGGTTCCGTTAATCCCAAAAGGTCCAGTTTCTATATTAGAAATTACCATTATGGTTTGGGGAAGTATTCCCCATAACAGTACCTAGGACCCTTTGGGAATGCAAGGATTCCTTCAGGGTTCCTTTTCAGGGCTCCTTTGGTAGAGGTAAAGGCTCTAAGGATTCTGTAAGGTTCCTTGTAGCGTTCCTCTAAATGGCTCCGTCAAGGGATCTATAGGTATTTGAGAGCATTCTGCTTACTATACTGCTATATCAATTAGACACACTCGGTGGCTAGGGCATTAGGGCAGTAGTCTTGTGCTTTGGTTCTGGAGTGTAAGGCCCAGGTCTTGGAGTTTAGGGATTCAGAGTATGTGGTTGCGGGCTTGGGATCTAGTGTCTCGGGCCTTGGGTCAAGAAGGCTCAGGGGGCCTTGACGACTAGAACTACGAGCGCTCAGTTAAACCTCAATAATAGAACCCCATAGAAAACTCATGTAATGTGTTACAACCGGTCATTCACACTTAAAACACAACTTACAAAAACACAGATATGACCAAGCCCTATCAAACCCAGCATTCTACCTTAACCTTGGAAAGCTTATGCAAACCTTACTAGGCCTCACTCAACAGCCTACACCAGCTCATAGTACCCTTGCAAAGCCTTATGAGAACCCCAAACCCTATCGAAGCCAAAACCCTTGGTACCTTCCAGCTCTTTGTGGAGAGCTCCTTCACGCCGGGCCTCGGGTGGGCGAAAGGCGTACGTTAAGGACGCAGGAGAACAAGCATCTTTCTGTCAGAAGGGCTCTAATATAGGGGCCTTAACGGTTAGAATAGGGTTTTGGGACCCATTCTACTATACTTAGGATAAGGAACCCCCCAAATAGTATAGGTAATTGTTTAAGCCCCTACAGTATGAAGCTCCCTCCGGGGAGTACAAGAGTCTGTGGTTACCTTACACGCTAGAGCAGAAACTCTAGACATATAAACCCTGAATCCTACACCCTTCCTCTACACCCTGACCTAAAACCCTGCACGGGTTCATGGTTTCCAGGCACACCTCCCTTGTGATTTTCAAAAAAGCAGCCGCTGCAAACACATTGAAACCCCGACGAAATTCAGTAAAGCCATGTAAACCCCTCCCTCACTACAAAACCTATGGTCTCCATTGTAGCTCCTTTTTGGGGTTACCTTATAGGATCCTAATTATATAATTGGTTAAACCAAACAAAAGGAACGACAATGGAGACTATAGGAAGAGTCACTTCTGTGTTTCTTCCAGCAGACTTGGCTCCTGGCGTGTCCTTGAAGAGCTCCTTCCTGCCTGGCAGCACCCCCAAACCGATTCTTCAGGTCCACTGCTCCTTCAAGCAAAGTCCCAAACAGATCCCAAACTGTTGCACAAGAAGTTCCCCAAAATGCCAGTTGTGAACAACCTGAACCCTTAAACCCTAAACCCTAAATCCTAAAGTCCTAAACCCTCAAAAACCACCCAAAACACCCACATTCCCAAGCCCCCGGGTTGGCGCCTTGCGGAGATCGACCTGCTCGACCACCTGTTGATGCAATCTCTCTGTACGTTAGTTTCAGGGTTAGAGTTTAGGGTCTTGGGTTTTAGGGGCTTCCGAGGTTTGGGGTGTGGCTTGGGCATTGAGGTTTAAGGGTCTGGGCTTGTGTACAGGGCTTGCCTAGACAGCTCTAAGTTCCTGTTTTGCATGGCCTGGTTTAGGGCCAGGAAGCGGGTTCAGGGAAGCCCTTACAACTGCATTTGGATCAAATGTTCAGTTTCGAGGTTGCTTCTCACAGCGAAATCACAAACTAATTATTCATCACACAAACCCCAAGCCCGATAACCCAAACCTACAGCAGACATCTTCTCATGAGATCTTACCCACATCATACCATGTGAAGGAGACGTTGCGGACTTGGGGTTGGGGGACTTCAAGGCTTTAGGGTTACTCAGGCTTCCGGCTTCCGTATGACACCGATGCTGCCACAGACCTGGGCACTTCCCAGAGAGCCCAATACCCCTTAATTAAGGGACATGCCTTACACTATAAGGGGGTGCACATTTTGATTTAAGGTGTATCCCTGAATTAAGGGGTATTGGGTTCTCTGGGTTCTCAAGGTGGAGCTTCGAGGGACAACAGCGCCTAGAGAAAACCTACAGAAAACTACGGTTGAACTTGTTGCGGTTGCCACCTTTCAAGGGGCCTCACTGGGCCTTGTAGGGTTTGCCGTAAGCCCAGTTAGGTGAAGAATCCGAAAATCGCAGCCGAGCTCCGAAAAAACAAAAAAAAACTACACCCGAAGCCCTAACGAGGTTTAGGGTTTAGGGGTTTAGGGCTAGGGGCACAAACCCTATCAGCAAGAAGTAGTGGACAAGCACACCTTCAAAGCAAGATCCCATGTGCAACACGGCCTCCTCCGCCTCCGGGGAACCTTTCTTCCACTGCAAGCTTCGGGTTTCGCGCGCGAGAGGGGGCTTTTTGTTGGGGTCTCTGTGGCTGTCAGGGTCTGAGGGTTCCGGGCTTGAGTTTGGGACTTGCGGCTTTGAGTTTAAAGTTCTACCCCTAAACCCTAAAACCGTGGGCTCTGAAGACAGTAATTTACTCCGTCCGTGGGCCAGACAAACGCGAGGAACGCCGGCAATCTGACAGCATCTCATTGCGAAGACAGAAGGCCCCAGAACTACAAGTGCCGACATTGCCTCTGAATGTAGGGGCTTGAATACTTAGAATAGGGTCCTGGGCCCCCGTAATAGTCTAGTTATAGTAAGGAACACCAATATATGTAACATTCTTCTTCTTCTTCTGTGTGGACTATAGTGCCGCAAGCAGCGCGTCCTGTCATGCTGAATTCGGGTGAAACGCCGGCCTGGAGTGCCAGAACGAGGCAGTCCCGCTGCGCGGTCCTTCGCGCGAACGGTCTGCGATGAAGGCATCAATCCAGGACAGAAAAGAGGGCTGAGGCCGATGCAACCTCGAAAGGGTCGCCAAATCAAGGTCCTCGCCGCAAATGTCAATCCTTTCCGCTGCTGTGAGACCCTTTGGGCCGTCACTTCGCATTGCGGGCAGGGTGGCTGAATATTCAGCCCAATGACCATGTTTGACCCTTTTGCGGGCCTTGGTTTCCTGCGCCTCGACCTCGCGGATTTGAGGGACAGTCAAGGGGGGCGCGAGAAGGCAGGACCGTCGCAGGCAGTGGTCCGAATGCTTCAAGTGCGCCTGAACCCGGGAAACCGAGTGGTAGCAGGTAAGGCAACTGATGCATGTGTCACCAAAAGCAAGGTGACGGGCGGGCGAAAAGATGCCGTGGGACTTCGCAAGGTGAGCCCCCAAGTGCTTGCGCATCGGGAACCGGGCGCCGCACCATTGGCACGCAAAGGCACCCGAATCGCGGGGCCGAACAGGTGCAGGGGCGGGACCGGAGTGCTCATGCCGGTCCTTGTCAACACGCCATTTTTCAAGGTCGGCTTGGGCACATTTGCAGGCCCGTTTGACAGTCGCGACCCACCAAGCAGGCTTCTCCCAGACAAGCTCAAGCAAGGAGGAAACCAGCAAGCTCAGGAAGGTACAGCTTGACGTGAGCAATGTCCCCTTCCAACAACCCGAACCATGATACAGCAGAAACCTGCCACTGGACACGGAGGAGATGTAGCAGTGGAGCCGGACCGGCTTTGACCAGCTGTCGAAGAAAGACTGCACGAGCCAATGCGAGAGCCAAGGGAGGGGGCGGAGCAGCAACCCTGCGTAGGACCTCATATGAGTGTAAGGTGGGATCACCCTTGCCGCGCTTCCAGAGGGAGCGCCAGACAGAAACGTACAAACGGGCCCAAAGTCTGCTGTGTATGGCTGCCGTAAGTACAATCGCAGCACTACCAAAGGTGAACCGGGAGACCGCAAGAGAACGGAGCAAAAGGGCTCGGGTCGCAAGGGGAATACCCGGGGCAGCAAAGAGTTTGGCCTTGAGGGGGCGAATCACCCCAGCCGCCAACGAGTGCCGGTAATGCACCTCCGGTGCTGGCGTCCCAGATGCAGTGACGATTCCACCGAGGTGCCGATACGCAGAGACAATGGGGAGGCGGACACAGGTGGAAGTAACTGCGCTGCGGACTTCCAAGTAGGAGCCCTCCGCGTCACGGAGCACAAGCGGGTCGCCTTCTCCCTCATCCTCAAGGAGGGTGGCGGTCTTGTCCCGTGCAAACGTAAGGCGAATGCCTGCAACCTCAGCCTGTTCGAGGAAGACCTGAACACAACGAACGACCTTGGGAACAAGGAGACACCGCTTGGCAGCAGAGGCCATGTGGACGAAATCATCCGCCCACGAGGCACAAGTCAAGTGTCCTTGGACGACAGGGACGGCAGTAAGGGAGTCATCGGAGGCGGACGGCAGGTCCGTAGCCAGCCCCAGTTCCCGCAGACGGGCCTCTGCCGCGGCCATATAGGCACTAAATGAGAATGCAAACAGCACATCGGCCAAGCAGTCGCCGGGGCGAACGCCCCGGTGCGTCATTGTCAAGATCGCACAGGTATCAAGTCTGAACCATGTGCCCTGCAGCGCGTCCGCAAGCATCCGACGCAGGTGTTCGGGAGTGCCGGCTTCGGCAAGCACACCAATGCCCCGAAGCTTGGCCTCCAATTCGGCCAAAGCCTCGGGAGGGACCCCAACATCGTGCATGAGGCGACGAAAGGCCCAATCAGTGTCATCAACGCGGGTGAGGACCTGGCGAAGCACTCTATAGTAGGCTGCACGGATGTCGAAGACGGTAAGAGCAGTGGTGAGACGGAGACTGCGAGCTATGTCCCTGAACGTGCGGGCCGTCATGGCCACAGCCTCCGTCGACACACCTGGCAAGGCTCCAGCTTGTAGCTCGGAGGCCACAGTCTGCAAAGGGCCCAACAGCTGGTTGCGAAACTGCCTGTGCATGATTTTCCCCGGAATACTGGAAATCAAGATACTCCGGAAACCCTCGCAAGCGAGGACAGACCCCGCTTTCTTTGCTAACGGCAGCAAAGAGCCTCCTCTGAATTCCAGTGGCTCGGAGATACCAAGGGCACTTTTGGTGTAGACGGCAAGCAAAAGGCGCGCGGAAGACGGAGCATGTACACGAAGCAATTCGCCTGTGATGCCGTCATAACCGGCGGCTTTGCCCGCCGGGAGACCCACAATGGTCTGTTCCACACCGGCCAAAGTAGGTACACTGCCGATCTCAAAGACTGGCGAAGCATGGCGGCCCCGGGTCTTCTGATCACGGAGAATGGCAATGTAGGAGGACGAGTCCACGACCTCCCCAGCTTCCTGCTCAGCAAAGTGGGAACGCCAGCATTCCTCACGTTCCGCATGGCTGCACGCAAGGCGACCTTCTGCGGTCTGCACAGCGGGAAGGGGCTGGAAGGACGAGCGGCGGGAGGCTTTAGCGGAGGGAAAAGCCTTCCGAACCTTCTCATAGAGTCGCCGCGGGTCCCGGAGATCGGCAAGAGATACGGCCTCCGCGAGGCCTGAAAGATAAGTGGCTCTGTCCGAGCGGGTGGCTTGCTTGATCTGACGCCCAAGAGAGGCAATCATGTGGGCAGCTTGGGCAATGTCTGTATCAAGCAGGCGAACCCGTCGATACAAGCCATCAGCTTGAGCACGGGAATAGGCAACACCCCGGGCAAGACATTGCCAGGACAGAAAGCCAAAAGCGAGGCGGCGAGCATTGGCTTGCCTCCGTACTGCCCGAACATGGACTCTCCAAGCCTTCCGCCACTCAACCAGTTGCAAGGTGGGGCCGGAGAGATAGGTCTGGAAAGGCCGCCGGGCTTGGGGGGCAGGGCAAAGTGCCTGGCCTTCGGCCCGCCAAGTCTTGATTAAGTCCAGGTAATGAGCATCGATAGGGGCGGACCAGGATGCCTGGGGACTGTCGCAGAAGTGTTGGAGGGCCTGGACATAAGCACCAGGGGGCTCATGCATTCTGGGAGGCCGCACTGCACGCCTGCGAAAAGTCTCAGCATGGGCGGGCCGGGAGCCTTCCTCAAATCCAAGCTCAAGGACAAGAGGCAGGTGGTCGTCCTTGACCTGGAGGTGTTCAAAGTCTTCCCATACATGGGAGGAGGCACTGGCGGCAGGCCATGCAATGGGAATCCCTATGAAGTCCAAACGGTGAGAGGGACCAAAGGGTGAGAGCCACGTGTGACTGGCTCCGTAGTGGCACTCAGGAAACGTAGATGGAGCCCATAACTCGAGCCTGGCCAAAAACTCATGAAAGGCAGCGCCCGAGGAGTTCTCTTCTTCAGGAGCGAGCGGTCCAATCGAGTCAGAGGGCAAGCTCCCTACATGAGCCTTGGCATCTGCCAAAACGATGACGGCAGAGCCTTGGGGGCGGCGCCCCACAACATGAGCACATCGGCCCCAAAAGTCCGCGGCTGTGCCTTCAGGAGAAGGGGGCTCAGATGGGCCATGCGCAACAACAATGGTCCACAGGGCTCCAGGTGCTCGGACCTGCACAACAAGGAGACGGGGCTCCGCCGCAGTGACAGTGAAATGGCCCTTCTCGAAGAACCGAGGAGTATCACTCCATTTGGCGTAAGGGACACTGGTGTTGACCCAGAGTGCAACGCCGAAATGCCCGAGGCTATTGGCCCCGGCATGAAGCATAACAAAGTGAGAGTCCGGTAGCACGGCTGAATGCTGGAGGCGGGTCTCCTGCAGGCCGACTAAAAGCACACCGGCCTCCAGGAACTGCTTCTTGATGACTTCACGCTTGGCAACGACACGCATGCCAACGGACTCGCAGGAAGCAGGTTGAGGCTGACCAGAGCGGGGGTCAAGCAAAGTCAAGATATTCGCAGTGACCAGCCGGATGTGATGGGACACAGGGCCCCGGCCAGGTCGGCCTTGGCAGAGGCCAAGGCTGGGGCCTGTGGTTGGGAGAAGGTCTTGCCGCTGCAACCGGAAAGCCTCAGACTCGAAACTGAAGAGGGTGGGCATATCCACAGTACCCGTCGGAGGCAACCAGGCCCACGCCTTGAGGGGATGGGCAAACAGGCGACCCGGCCAGACAGGAAGCAGGTCGCCCGAACATTGCAGCTGGCATCGTCGAGTACGCTTGGCGGCCTCATCACATAGCTCATTTGCAACGTGGCCCGAATGGGCTTTGACGTGGGCGTGTGAAAGTGGAAACCGCTCGGCCGCAATTTGTCGCAGCATCGTAGTGAAAACTGAGAGGGGGGACGAAGAGCTCACACCGGGGGCAGCAGGGGCCCGTGCAGAACCGAATGCGCCCCAACCAGCTGCTTGGCAGTCGTAGAAGCAGGTCACCGGAAGTTGGAGCGAGCCGGCGAATTGGATGAGCCAAGCAAAGGCCCAACCAAGGGCGAGTTGCTCGCACGAAAGGGCGAGTCGTCCGGCTCACCCAGAAACCAAGGATCGCCGTCCCGGGCGGCAATGTCTGAAGCCAGCCCTAAGAGATATTCCTGATCTGCAACTAACCAGACGGAAAAGGCCCATGCACCGGGTCGAAGGTCGCTGCCAACACCGCCCGAGGCGGAGCCATCCGTGTAAACGTGCAAAGCAACAGGCTCGGCAGTGGATGTCCTGTGATGCCAAAGGGGGATGCTGCGAAAAAGAGCACGTTTTACCTCGGGCACACAGGGGTCAGACACAAGCCCCCGGAGGTCATTGTCCAGCCAGTCACAAAGAGCATCCGGCTTGCAGGGCGGCAAAGGCGCAGGGACGATTGCATGCAAAGAAAGGCAATCGCCCTGGAAAGGAGTAAGGGGTATGGAACTGGCAAGACTGATAGTGCAACTGTCGCCTGGGCCAGCACTTGGCAGGACGTTCGAAGAGTGGGGCGCAATGTCACAGCCCCGTTGGAGGGAAGGGGTAGAGGGCCGACTTGCAAAGTGCTCACACAGTGATTCGACAAGAATACGTGTCTCAAACATAAAGTGAGCGACACTGGCAGGACAGGCCTCGAGCAAGGTCGGGCCATCACATCCCCACTCCGAGTCGGGATCTGGAAAGAGGGCGCCTGTATCGTCCAGGGCCGGGGCAGCACAACGGGCTCGGCAGGGAGTGGGGACAGGGCGACCGATTGAAGGGGTCGCGGGTGGGGCAGCAGGCACGACCCCAAGATGTATGCCAGAACCAACAAATACTGAGCCAAGAGGGTCACAGGCAGGGCCTGCGTCAACACACTTAGCAAGGAGGAGGGCGGCACCAAGAAGAAAGCAGGCCGAGAGGCCCTGCCACGGACTACAAGTCCAGCCCCTAAGAAACCCAGGCACGGGCCAAGGCCTAAACCACTAACCCAGGAGGGCTGTTGGGGTCGCAAGGGTTTGGAAGGGCAGATCTGGCAAGCCGGGAGGTCAGAGGTGTCCCCAGCTGGCCCAGAAGGATGGGCGTACGCAAAAAGAACCCAGTTCCACATATCTCGACCGGCAGCCGGTACAGACGCGGTAAGGAGCAGCACAGCAAGCGCAAGAAAAGGGCCGCGGCCACCAGCGCGAGCAGCTCCGCCCCAGCGTCGTGCGCGAGGCGCGGGGAAGGTGTTGGAGTTCCCGGCCTCCTGCAGTTGCCGGCTCCCCTTCCAGAGAAGAAGAAGAGGAGTCAAGTGAGTCATCCCGAGGGAGAGCAGCCTCCGAAGGGGAAGCAGCCGAAGCGGCACTGCTATCTGAGACACCACGGGGGATGGTCTCATAAAAGGCTTCAATGACCTGGCCTGGGGCAAGCACGACATAGCGACGGCCCTCAAACGGAGGGCCGAGCACCGGCAAGAAGCCAGGAGGGGCGAACTCCATCAGGGAGTCAAGGAGAAGGCCTGCGTCACACCGTTGGTTGCTCACATGGAGACAGGTCCACCCCTGACCCAAAGGCCGGGCATCAAGCAATGCCCAGTAAGAAAGAGTCCCGGGCTCCGTGGGTGGAAGCACATCAGCGGCAAGCACAGACCGACAGGTGAAGCCAGCATAGGTGACATCTCTGACGGGAGGCGTCGCCGGGCGAAGTGAAAGACTCGTCACCGGGCAGCCGACGAAGCCAGCTATATCATCCCGATATCGCACTGCGCGGGCCGGGTCTGGAAAGAAAGCCCGGTTAGCGCCAGCAGATACCAAAAGGTAGCACACCTCGGCGGGACAAAAAAGCGTAGGTCGAGCTTGCCACCCCTGCGGGGAGGCCAAAAGCATGGGAAGGGTGCCATGGTTAGGAACATCCGTACCACGCGCAACCAGAGCGACAAGGCTCCCTTGGTGCAAAGCAACCTCCGCTCCATCTTGGAGGGGGACATTCGTGCCAGCTATGAATATGTCAACCTCAGCTCCCAAAGGGACGAGGGCAATCCGAAGCACAGTGTAACGGTCAACAGCTGGGGGAGCAACCGCGGCAAAGATACGGCCGTCAATGCCGGTGAGGTCAAACAAGACCACGAGCTCGAAAGGGTGCCAATGGGGCAAGGCAACTAAGGCCCCCCATCCGGTGGCGGCCTGTGGGTCGACCGGTACCAAGTACGGAAAGCGGCTGGCTGGAGTAACCGCCCGCGTCCGGGAGATCAGCGCGAGTGCCTCTGCAAGGGACGGGGGGTGCTGAAAGGTAACAGTACCCAAAGGCTCTCCGATTGATTTTTTTCGAGCGAGGATGGTGTTTTCAAGCGCCGATCGAAAAACAAAAAAATTCAAGCGTTCGATTGATAAAATCAATCGAGGATCCACATAGTACACGAAGTATAAATTCAATCGAGGAATCGAGCGGGGACCTTCATAAATTCAATCGAGGAATCGAGCGAAGAATCGAGCGTAGGATGTTAAAAATCAATCGTAGACATCGCAAAATTTCGTATTGTCCTGTCTAACAAAACTGATATATATATATATATATATATATATATATATATATATTATGTATGTATGTGTATATACATATGCCTATATATATATATATATGTATACATATACATATACATATACATATATATATATACATATATACATATATATATATATATACACATACATACATACATACATACATACATACATACATACATACATACATACATACATACACATATATGTATATATAGCATATCGAGGCAACTGTGGATTTTATATCTAGATAGATAGATAAATAGATAAAGACATATAAAGATATATAGAGATATGTGAAGATATGTAAAGAAACATAGATCGATATAGATAGACAGATAGATGGATGCATAGATAGATAGATGTAGATTGTTTCAGTGCAGGTTTTGATTTTTGTGGTTCCGGGTTTGATGTTTATAGGGTTTAAGTTGGGGTTCAGGTTATCGGGTTATGCGGTTTCTATATATAGGGTTTATGGCCTATAGGGGTTTTGGGGTTTAGGGGTTTCGGCGCATAGGGTTTGGGCCTATATATTCACATACATACATATACATACATACATACATACATACATGTATATCATATATACATAGGGGTTAGGGCCTATAGGGGTATGGGGTTTAGGGGGCTTGGGGTTTAGGCCGGGGTTTGTGGTTCAGGGTCCGGGGTTTGGGGTTTATGGTTTAGGGCTTATAGGTTATTATATGTAGGGTTTCAAGAGTCTGGACAGATTCTTGATGCCTGGTCTGGATAGACCTTCTTTCTTAGTATAGGGTTAACGAGTCTGGACAGATTCTTGGTGCCTGGTCTGGACAGACCTTTTTCTCTAAACCGTAAACCCAAAACCCTGATCCCTAAGCCCTAAACCTTAAACCATAAACTCTAAACCATAAACCCTAAACCGTGAGTCTGGACAGATTATTAATGCTTGGTCTGGACAGACCTTTGTTCCTTAAACCCCAAACCCTGATCCCTAAGCCCTAAACCTTAAACCATAAACTCTAAACCATAAACCGTAAACCGTGAGTGTGGGCAGATTCTTAATGGTCTGGACAGACCTAAACCTTAAACCATAAACCCTAAACAATAAGCCCTAAAACCTTAAACCGTGAGTCTGGACAGATTCTGGATGCCTGGCCTGGTCTGGATAGACCTTCTAGGGTTTATACGGCTCAAGATTTCTGGATCCTGGATGGTCTGGCCAGACCTTTTTATTTACCAGGTTGTTTTGTGTGCTACTTTTTCCTGTCTGTCCAGACATTGATGGTCTTGGCAAACCTTTTTTATTTACTAGGTTGCTTTGTGTGCTACTTTTCCTGTCTGTCCAGACATTGATTCAGCCATGAAATTATATGCTAAACACAAGATGCACCATGCACGACATGTCTGTCCAGACATTGATTCAGCCCTGTCGACTTCATCCTAAAACACAACATGCACCATGCATGACTTGTCTGTCCAGACATTGATTCAATCTTATTGAGCACGTTTTTTTTCTCCTCACTCCTCATCTTCATCCAGATTCAGCCATCCTCGCAGCAGGAGCTCGTAAGCTAAGGCGAATTTTCCACAAATCTTCAGTGGAATCTGGTAGCTCGGCGTTCCTCTATCACATGAAGCAGCGATTTTCTTGCACACCGACATGAAACTCTCAGGGCCATAGGTCCAAGCAAGTCTGGGTGCCATCCATTTACACTGAACATGAAAATGTGCCATCAAGTGGAACTTCTGGGTGACACTGTACCTCTTCTTTCCTCTGTTGAAAGCATCTCTGCTCAAGAAAGTGTAGTGCAGGAGCAATCTGTCAATCGCCTTCTCCATGCTTCTGTGCCTGGTATCCAATATAACAACAACAAAAGTCTGCCGTTTATGTTAACCTTTATGCGGTTTATTTCAAGGTTCAGGACTTGGTATATGGGAAAACCACAAAGCTCAAAGTTCAATTCATTTCACATGCATGCAAGCTACTCCTTTCTGTCAAAGCGATACTTCTGGCAGTCACACAGCTCGTAAATCTCGTCCATGGCCTTCACTGCTTCAAGACGATGCTTTCCTGCCACTGTATCCTTGTACAAGTCTGCCAACCCCACAGCCACACTCGAGAACTCTCGTATTCGTCGCCCTTTCACATGGCTCAAGCACGGGTACCCAGTCTGACTTTGAATGTTCCCTTTGCTCAACTTCGGGATTCTGGCAGCAGCTGGGGTCGACTGACTCTCGTACAGCTCCTGGATTCTTGAGTTCAAAGCTCCAATGGATGCAGCGAAGCTCCCAGGTAGGTGGTCCTCCAAGATGTCGTTGATCAAGTTTCCATACAAATGCGAACTGACTCCAAGGTCTAGCATGTGCAACACATCAAGTTTCGGGGACCAAAAATTGATCCCTGGAACTTTAAACAAAGGGTGATCATTTTCTCTTGGATCTCTGGGTTGCTTTCTCCACTCAGCACTTGCTCTGAAGTCATTGAACGGGGCGACAGCATCTGCATCTTTGAAAAGGTTGTCACACTTGCAGTAAGGACACAAATTATTGCTGTTCGCAGTAGGCCATCCGAATTCCTGCGAGAAGAACTCCAAGTCTCCTACCAAAGCCATGACCACAGCTTTGTGTCGCGAGGCCAACAGTGTCAAACTTTCACAGATTTTGTCCCACAAAGCTGGCCACGATCCAGCATTTGCTGATTTCGGCAAACAGCCGATCAGCAATTCCGAGGTCTTAATCGACCTCTTGGTTATCATGCATCGCATGCTTATAATCAAGAGCGAATCTGTCTCGCTGAAAGAGGCGTGATCGCCGTGGAGGATCAACGGAACCGGTAGCGATTCCATCACATTCACGTCTCTCCAGAACTGTCTGCTTCTCCACAGCTGTTCATTTTCTCGAAAGTTTTGGCATTGCCAAAATTCTCGGATCTCATTCTTTGTTGCCTTATATTTCTGAAAAAGCCAATAGCAGCGAATCAAAGTTAAACTCTATCCTTAACCACTGAGAAAACCCTGCCAAAAAAAACCTGCAAAAAACACAAAACTCAAAGCTCAAAGTACTCGCCAAGTTGCAGTGAACATCTCCAGCACATCGTTCTTCTCCAGCACATCGAACCACTCGTGGGGAAGAAGCAAAGGCACCTGCTTCGACTCCACCACGGCACCACCAGATTTCTTGTCTCTCAAGGACACCGGGGTGCTGATCAAGGTACTTTCTGGCGCTCTGCACACATTCAGCATCTTCATCAAGTCTCTGTGGCAGTTCTGAGCACTAGTGCCTTGTCCTCCCAGCATCTGCAAACTCGCCAGGTCTGGGCTGGGTTCTTTGCAGCTCCGAACTGCTGCACTCGCCATTTTTTGCACTTGAGCAGCTGAAAGTCGTCCAAAAGCGAACTCTTCCAGTAACAAGAGTCTCAGAGGCGACGGGGCCGGTTCAAGAAGGTTAGCCTTCCTCTTCTTCCCCAT